CTTAGCTCACTGGTGGCATGGTTAGATAGGTGGTCACTGGAAGTAAATCCAAATAAGAGTGTAGTGATGCAGTTAAATAACTCTGATGAATCGTATGACTATACACTACGTGGATTCTTGCTACCCAAAGTAAGAAACTATAAAGATCTAGGAGTCATATTAAGCAATGATCTCAAAACGACTAGTCACTGTAAGGCTGCTGCTGCAAAAGGCTATAGGGTATTATGGTCAATTCGTAGGTCTTTCCAGTATTTAGATGATGAAATGTTTAGATTACTATACCCGATTTACGTGCGACCACATTTAGAATACGGGATTCAAGCAGCGTGTCCTTGTTTCAAATATGAAGCAGATATGCTAGAAAGAGTCCAACGACGAGCTACTAAGATGGTACAAGGTCTATCTGGCCTATCTTATGAAGACAGACTGAGACACCTTAACTTATTTCCGTTATCTTACCGTAGAATAAGGGGTGATCTAATATTGGCCTATCGTATACTGAACGATGACCTTGGTATTAACATGTCTTATCTTTTGCTTCCGTCTAGGACTGATCATTTGAGAGGACATTCGAAGAAAGTTCAAAAACCGAGATCAAACCGTTTACGTTTGGAGTTCCGTTTCTCGCACCGAGTAGTGAATTACTGGAATTCTCTACCGGAACACGTAATATCAGCACCATCTGTTAATATATTCAAAACGAGATTGGATCTCCATAGTATTACAAACTGCAAGGATTAATATAGGTCGACAGACCTCCTATCCTTATTACTGAAGACTGAAGAGGTGTTAGTCAAAGACTTAAAAATGGTACTCAGGACAAAACTTAACAAAAAATTTCAAACTTTAACCAAAGTACTTTTAGTTAAAGTAGACCAAGAATGCTTTTTGGTGCAATAAGTACCCAAAGCAAGTATAATCACAACAAGTACAAAAATCACTGCCCTTTTTGAAACGAGCGCGTAGAAGGTTATTGTTAGTACTAGACGGGGGAAAACGATGGGGCATATTAACACCCAAATGATAATCAAAGATTCGAAATGCCAGTATATGGCCACCTTGCGTCCTGTCCAGAGCCATTTGAACATAAGAATTTTGTATATACCGTTGTCATAGAAGTGGTTAATGATGTTTCCGTTACATATCTTATTTCGATCTAATTCACACACATTTGTATGATAAAAAACGGGTTGAAGTGCAATAGAATATATTTGAAACCTGAATTTCAATACAAAAACCGAGGCTTTTCAACTCTCAATTTACTTCATCACAAGGACGTATCGTCATTGGCTGTTATGTGCTACAGTTTGGTTATTCAGATTGAAAGGATAAGGTACATGTCAGTCCATTGTTTACTCGTTTTTATTTTACTTTATACCGCTTAGTCACTAAAAACTCAAAATCCGTAATAAGTCGAAGATCCTTAGTAGGAAAGCGAAGTATTGAAAGATCATCACATTGATTTTACAGGGTCGCATCAGATCGAGTGTTTACATTTTTGTTTGTCGGTCGTTAACAATTGCAAGAAGTTAAAAAATATTCTGATTTAAATGTAGGCAACCAGGGGTGTGTAGGGTTGAACTAACTAGTTTTTCTTCACCACTCATTATTAAAAATTATTAAGTATTTGACTTTATATCTGTTGTTATTCCTTCAAACAAATACCTAAGGCCATCAGTTCTTAGTTCTAGAGGGAAAACGCCAAATGAGGAAAATTTTTTCCACTCGGTTCCCAAGTGTAGTGTTTTTTCCAACTTTTTCATCACGTCCAATCAACTTTCATCTAGCCTTTCTGTTCAGATCATTTCATTTCTAAAATAACAGGAGTCTAGGGTGGCCTGTATTAGTCCTAGCAATGGTGGTCTCTCAGTCAATCCAACTTGTCGAAATATGGAGCTCCACTTACGTGTTCCAGTCTTCAATAATAAGGATAGGAGGTCCATCGACCTATATAAACCACTGAGCCCGACGTGTTGAGGTAATGAATCCCATTCGTTGAAAAAGTCGATAGCTGCCAATTAATTTGTTCTGTGCTTGTGGACGTCTCCAGAGTGTCCTTGTAAACACTGTTTTTGAAGACAAGAAAAGTGAGAGCATATCAGATGCAAATTTATCACTAAGTAATTTAAAAACTGACTAATATACATCATAATGCACACGAAAACATTTACTGGGGACTGTCAAATTTTAAATTACTCAGATAATTTCTTTAGATCATTTTGAAGCTCCAAGCTATCGCCCTTTTTATCGCTTTCCATATCTTGATATCAACATAACAAAACCGATGATTATAAGAAACTAGAAAGGTCATTTACATATCGGAGGAAAAACACTGGTCCCAAAACTGTACCCTGAAGTACTCAGCTAAGCATAGTTTCCCAACTAGACAACTTTGAGTTCACTCGTACTCTTCGTTGGTGTCACATCAATAGATTGCCTCCAACCCTGACATTTCTTAACTTACATAACCGATTGTGAGGAATTCTGTCAAAACCTTTGCTGAAGTCAATGTAGGCTGCATCTATAAGTGACGTTTGGTACTTAAGAGCGCACCAGCTTTCACGAGCCACTAATAAGTTAGTGAGACATGAATAACCTGTTTTGGTAATCGACCCTGGGTTATAGATAGATTAAAACATATGCTTCAAGGAATCACGACAAAATTGGCTAATTCCTTTGGTAACCTAAGATGTATTTTATCAAGTTTCATGGATTTTCCTATATCAAGCTCATTTAACAGACCACATACATCGGGTTCTTTGATTGTCACAGTGTCTAGTGTGTTTGGGTTTTGCATGAACCGAATAGGAGAGCATCTCTACTGTATATACATTGCTAAAGTAATATGTGAATACCTGAGCTTTACCATGATCGTCCTCTGCTAATGATGCAGCACTACTGTCCACAATGCTGGAATATTTCCTCTTCTTTTAGTCCTTTGGTTTATGTACGAGTATAAGCATTTTGAGTAATCTACAGAGTGCTTAACAAGTTTTCCTTTGTACAAACTTCTAGACTTGCAGAGAATCAAGGCCATTACTAACACTAATTGGCACCATTAATCACTTATCTACTTTCTGTTGATTTCTTGTCGTGTTAATATACTGTGGTAATTTAAAAGTAAGAGTCATTACCAGGCCGCACTTTGTATTTATCTGTTTTCTGTTCCGTCACTAGTGTGACAGGTAAAGTAATGAATTTTTATCGACCACAGTTATTAGGACATGTATTACGTATCTCCAAACACCGCTTACCTCGACTCTTGATGACGGATGGTGTAAGGTAGGGGTGACCAAACCAAAACTTGGCATCAGTCCATGAAGTCGATGGAGGTTGGATTGAGCTGCATAGGTAGGTTCGGACTCTCCAGTTGAGGTTCGCATGATCATCTTAACCATTGGTTAGAAACCTTGGATGAAATAACATGGAAACTTTCCCATTGGAACATATGCACTCATTTCTTGAGCTCATTTAAATCTTAAGTTTGTAAATTATTTTAAAATGTTTTTCTGTTTCACGAATCTGTATTTTCTAAATTCACATGTTCTATGCCTAATACTTCCTATTACCATTAATACTGTTACCACGTTTACTACTATGTCATCAGTGTGGTGGTGTGATGCCTTGAGTCGATGCACTTATGTACCAGGCTCTACTCTGTCTATGACTAGCTATCGAATGCCCTGGTACGGTCGAGGGTGGGAGATTCCACTCTCCCTCTCGAAATGCTCCCACATGACCTCGCGTATACAGCCACTGTCAGGTAAGTCCTATTCACTGCCTTCTCGCGGAGGGGGTATTGTTTACAAAATTGAGATGTGTCAAAGCAAATATCCAGCGCGCCAACCGGGTTGGTGGACACGGAGGTCCACCTAGGGGGTTGGAAAACCCTGATTTCAAACCGATGATGCACATGGGCTCTAGAATCCTTAGGGAACAAATGGCGTATGAACCTATTGTTGGTCACTGGCTACCATGGGACTGCACCTCTTAGCGTTGTTCCTTTGCCTTGTGGATTAGACCTTTAGGTCAAAGGCTCGGAGTGTGGTTCCCTAAGGAAGCCACCTGCTTCGGTTTGAGCACCCGGGCAGTATCACAGCCCTCACACATCGAGTGAGATCCGTGTGGCACATATGTGTTTGGTGCCTCCTTGTACCAATATCTATATGTTAAAATAATAAATAAATAATGTATAGTCTGGCTACAAAAGGTCGGATCTACAACGCGTCGGTGAGAGCACTCATGCTCCATGCTTGTGAAACCTGGCCTCTCTGAATTGAGGATGTCAGACGAATATCTGTGTTTGATCATTGTTGTCTTCGAATGATCGCTGACATCCAGTGGCAACAACATGTTAGTAGTGCAGAGGTCCGGCGTCATGTGTTCGGGCACGACGATGGTGCAACACAGTGGCTTAAGACGTTATCAGGTGTGACTCAGAATGTAATCCAGTGACGATCCTGCTGTAACTTGTTTCTTCATAAAAAATCAACGTATCTTCTTTATTTGAAAGGATTCTTCCTGGTTATTTTTGCTAATTAAACTCTTTCATTATTATTATTATTATTATTATTATTATTATTATTATTATTATTATTATTAATAGTTTCACTCATACATTAATTTCTGTTCGTCGTTTTTTTTTAATTATACGCACTTTCTCTGTATCTTAACCTTATTGTTATTGTGTGGCGCATATGTATTTGGTGTTTCGCTTGTACCAATGTTTGTGTTTAAATAAAACAAATAAATAAAGTGATTGAATAGTGCACAAATAAAATTCTACGTTTAACTGTGGAATGAATATAGGCCACTTTGGGCAATCAGTCAACAACTAATGTCTCCAAGGGTCTAACATTTAAGTTTTAACACATTTTTATAAAAAAAAACTGTTTCAAAGTTGAACATTCGACCATTAAAATTTTGGTAAAACGTTTGTCCTTTTTGCGAGTTTCTTCAGAGCTTGTTTAACAACACTGTCTTTTAATAATGAAAACATACAATTACATTCTTCCTCTTTAGTGTCTCAAATCATACTAGTTCAATAACTTGGCGTTTAAGAATCTAGTCTGATATTTAACTGAAAAAAACTGTCAATGACTTTTGATTTGTGTTTCCTAATAGTCATATACCCAGTAGACCGTTGCCGTATTTTGTTAAATAATTTTTTATTTTATTTTCCTGAGAGTAATAAATAGTCACGCATTGTCTTATGATATTTAGCCGGCGATTTTTTAGTAAATGGACTCACCTCATATAAATCCAGTAGATTACATGCATTCACTATCGCTATGGCGTGAAGGTCAACATGCATCATCGATGCGTTTAGCTGTAACTATGTCTGTACGATTAATTTCCTATGTGTTAACATCTTTGTGAATTAGTTGGGTAAGGATATATTTTTCATACTCATTCTGTGACTTTAATATGCTTTCTGTTCACAAGTTACAGCTATGAGCCTACAGCCTTTTTATTTCATTATGGAAAACCTATTTTATTTTCCAGTTAATCGATGAAACGGTATTTAAAAAAAGCTCGAGTTCTGTGCATCTTTTTCTTTCTCGTTATTCTATTTGGAGTATGTTGGGTGGTAAATAACGGTAATCAATCTATTGTACAATATCGGGTACGTTTTATTTGTGTTGTATTAAGTATGTTTTGAAACTTGAGGATTGTGTTGAATTTATCATATTATTGACGGACTAAAATAACTGTGTATACTAGCTCTATAAGATTTTCATGGAGAACTGTGGCTCAACGGTTGTTTTTTAAATGATATGACCCCTTTCTATTTCATCTTTGTCACGAACAGTCATGTATTATTTCTAGTCCTAGAAATTATTATAGTTCAATTCTTATTACATAAACCTATACTTAGTTACTGAAGTGGCCAATCAAGAAAGTACACCAACTTTGAAACATTTAAGACACTCGATTTACTGAAAACATGGCTCGTGATACCTAGGATTAAATCAAAATCGTTGGAAGGTAAATAATTATCGTCATTTGTACAATATACTTAGGGGTCACTAATACATCTCGAAAAGGGGAGTGTGTTGTTACCCTAGTCTTATTATAGAGATTCATACAGTAGCTCTTAACTCACAAGGAACTCTACTTTGGGATCAGGACTTAACAGCGCAACGTTTGATCGCGGAAACTGAAGCCACGAGGAAAGCGAGTAATTCTAGTTAAAATGTAATCCTAAGAAAAATTTAGCTATAACTCAGAAAGCTGAATTTTCAGGACTCATAAACTTCAATAAAAGAAACTGTTTTACCCTCTAGTGTATATTGGTTCCTCGTCATGGAGTTTACTGTTTTATATATGAGCATTCACTTTCAGTTTCATAAACTAAACACTCAGAATAAAATGCTTACAATCTGTAATTATAGTAAAAATACCAATCGAAACTTCGCTATAGTTTATTATGGAAACCAAAGTATTTAGATCACAGAATCACTCCAACTCAACATCGGAAACTATACCAAAACATTACTAAACCTGTGTAGCGTATTATATATATATAATTATATATATCACTCCGAAATTTCTTAAGGTTGAACCAAATTTATGGCATGTCATCACACAATTCGATGTAAAGTACTGTAAATATGGAGAACAGATTTTGAAGTTAGTTGAGATGATTATAGGAAAAGGTGATCGTAAAACAACAGAAAATTAGATTGCCAATCGGTTTCAAGAATCTAAGACTAGAAACTGTCATTTTGATAACATGCTTTTTCGTAGTGATGTATGTGTAATCGCTATTTTTATATTAATTTAAACATTACTTAAGTACGTAATCTTCTTAAGAGACGTTGGTCTTCATTAAATCAAAATTTCTGTTCAACGTTTTAGAACAAAATAATTTAGGCGAAGAAATATTTTTAAATTTCAATTAAATAAACATGAACCTTTAAACAGTTATGCTCACGTTTACTAATTTTAAGCATTAAATTTAAATCACTGACTTCACAAGAGCTCACATTTATCTGCCTATATTAGCTTTTCTGAATTTGTTGGGAATAAAACTTCTAGAAATCTAATGGGAGGTCCTTCACCTCTCTGTGTACATTTTTGTGCTTATATTATCACTAACTGTCAAATATTCGCGTTATTAAATAGGATTTAATAAGTGAATGAGAGCTGCAATTGTTAAAATAAACGAATAGACATCTGATCAAAACACGATGTGAAAAAGTGTGACGTGGTTAGATGATGACTGTTCACAAGACCGAATTGTCTCCCCCCTCGAATGATTTGTGATCATAGACAAGACCAGTAGCCAGAAGAATAAGTTATTGTAGTAAGCTAACGTGGTTACATACAAAATGCCTCCAAATGCCCTGGTACGGTCGAGGGTGGGAGATTCCACTCTCCCTCTCGAAATGCTCCCACATGACCTCGCGTATACAGCCACTGTCAGGTAAGTCCTATTCACTGCCTTCTCGCGGAGGGGTATTGTTTACAAAATTGAGATGTGTCAAAGCAAATATCCAGCGCGCCAACCGGGTTGGTGGACACGGAGGTCCACCTAGGGGGGTTGGAAAACCCTGATTTCAAACCGATGATGCACATGGGCTCTAGAATCCTTAGGGAACAAATGGCGTATGAACCTATTGTTGGTCACTGGCTACCATGGGACTGCACCTCTTAGCGTTGTTCCTTTGCCTTGTGGATTAGACCTTTAGGTCAAAGGCTCGGAGTGTGGTTCCCTAAGAAAACTACCTGTTTTGGTTCGGGTGCCACGGTAGTATTCCAACGCTCACACAAAGCAATGATGACTGCTACTGGTCTTATTGTTATTGTGTGGCGCATATGTATTTGGTGCCCCCTTGTATCAATGTTTATGTGTTTAAATAAATAAATACAAAATACTCACACATGTGATATAATGATATGTCACAAACCATTATTTATAAATATTGGTACAAGAGTGTGCCAAATATATATGCACCACACAAAACAATGAGAATTTAAGGGGAAGGAAAAGAAAAAAAGAGAGAATAATAACGAAGAGATTGATGTAAGGTGGTGTAATAATTATTATGGTAAGAATGGGGGAACGGAAAGGTACAATCAGAAGAAATCTTTCAGTTAAGGAATACACAACCACTTTTTTTATGAAGAAAGTAAAGGAAGGTTACGGCAGGATCTCCACCGGCTTCTATTCTGAGCCATATCTGATGACGTCTCTAGCCACTGTGTTGCACCATCTCTCGGACCCCAGCCAGAGAGTCGTGGAGGACCAACACAAGCCAGTCCTTTGCAGCTTTCTTTCATCTCACGACACCATGTCATATAATGACCACCTCTCCGCTTTTTTCAACTAGTCCCAGAGTCGGCAAATAATGCACGACGTGGAATTCTCTGGGTCGACATTCTTAGAACATGTCCAAGCCACCGAACTCGGTGTTTCAAGATGGTGACACCGATTGCATTATCGTCTCTGTGCCCGAACACACGATGCCGAACCTCTGCATTACTGACATGGTGTTTCCACTGGATGTTAGCAATCCTTCGGAGACAACGATGATCGAACACAGATAGTCGTCTAACGTCCTCAACTCGGAGAGACCAGGTTTCACAAGCATAGAGCAAGACTGCTCTCACCGACGCGTTGTAAATCCGACCTTTTACAGCCAGACTAACATCACGAAGGCGCCAAAGATGGCCCAGATTGGCATAAGCCGCTCTGGCTTTCACTATACGTGCATTGATCTCATCACTCACACCCCCACCAGCACTTATGCAGCTACCCAGATACACGAACTTCTCGACTACTTCCATCTGCTCACCATCTAGGGTGAGTACAGGATTAGAATCCTACCAGTCTTGTGGAAGTACTTTGCACTTCGAAGGTGCAAAGCACATACCATACCTACGGACACTGATTGTCAACTGATTAAGTGCGGATTGCATGCCTTGGGCATTATCGCACAGTAAGACACTATCATTCGCATACTCAAGGTCGAGAAGTCTTTCTCCGGGCAGCAGATCCACACCGCCATTACTTACATCCATCAGAGCTGTTTCCAGAATGTCATCGATGGCAAAGTTGAAGAGGAATGGTGAGATTGGGCAACCCTGTCTAACCCCACTGCTCGAATGGAACAATGAAGAAATGTGGTTGTATGCTCACACTCTACCTGAGGTGTTTGTATAAAGGGCCTTTAGGATGTTAATAAACTTCTCAGGCACACCCTTCTTCAATAGACAATCCCAGAGAACAGTCCTGTCCAACGAATCGAAGGCAGCCCTGATGTCAAGAAATACTAAGATTGTTGGCCTTTGATAAGTATGACGGTGTTCTAACATTTGGCGGAGGGTGAAGATATGATCAATACATCCTCGACCAGAACGAGACCCAGCCTGCTCCTCGCAAATCAATATTTCTCGGGTTTTGAACAACCTACGAAGAATGACGGAAGCCAATAGCTTGGACGCAATCGGAAGTAGACTTATCCCCCGATAGTTGTTACAGGAACGACGTCAACCTGTTATGGATGTTGAGGAATAATGTGCCAATCATTATCATGTTAAGTCTAATGATGTCCTTGGACGTTAAATGAACATTTCCTATTGGCCATTATTTATTTCACTCGTTAAATATTGTACAGATGTTGTTTTCTATTTTTATGGTACGATGTGGTCTGTTTGGTTAGTATATAAATAGAGTATGTCTGAAATATAATGATTCATAACTCAGAGGCTGTGACTTGCGTTCTAGACTCAACTGGTTGGGCTAGACAGGGAAGCGGGACCAATTCGGGCTCTAGGTCGTTCACTACGTGTTTTCCGTGTCACTGAATCGATCGATATAAACTCTGCTTATCATAACCTGCAGTCACCCGTTACAACAGAACCGTTTTTAAAGATAGGGACAACTATCGACTCATTCCATGACGTTGGTACACTCTCTAGTTCCCAAACCTTTGTAAACAACGTCGTCAATTCCTTAGTCAAAAAGTCACCACCATCTTTAAAAAGAGCCGGAGGTAAGTCATCTGGGCCAGGTGATTTGTAACGCTTCAAGAGTTGGAGTTCCTTGCGGACTTCCTCCTCATTTGGTGGATCAGTCGTCACCGGCCATGGAGGGCAGGACAGTCTGACCGATGTTGCCGGAGCAGCAGGCCAGTTGAACTGCCCTTCGAAAAATTCTGCCCATCGTCCAAGACGTCGATGGATGTTAGTGATTGGCATCCCATCATCCTCGCAGATTGTTTCACTCACACCAGACTTCTTGCTGCCAGTGGCTCGGATGAGTTGGAAGAGCTTCCGGTAGTTACCAGATGCAGCTGCTGCTTCCAGCTCATTAGCACGCTCCGACCACCAGGCTTCTCGGTCCTTACGCAAGCTTTGCCCAATTTCCTTACGTAACATCCTTCGTTTATGGTCAAACTCACGGTCACCCGGAGTAGACCGACGGGCTTCAATGAGTTGTAAGGAACCAGAAGAAACCCAGTGCTTAAAGCGGGACGTTTCGCAAACCCACAACTGACTGTTCCCGCCATTTTCATGGCGTCATGCAATTGCAACCAATGCTCATCTATACTTTTCGGTGGAGTGGTAGCTAGCCTAGAGGCTAGCTCGGTTCGATACTTACTTGCAACAGAAGTTGCAACCAGCTTGCTAACATCAATCCGTTGATGGCGGTCACTTCGTTGTCCACTGAAAAGTAAGGCAAGATTGGCGCAGACCAAGGCATGGTCAGAGTCCAGATAGGTACTCCAAAAGGAGCGGCAGTCTTGTACACAACCACGCCAGCGGTAGCTGATCGCGATGTGATCAATCTGAGTCCAGGCTTGAGATGCAGAGGGAGGACGCCAGGTGGCACATCGGCGATGACTGTGCCGAAAGTTAGTGCTAGCCAGAAACAGGTTGTGGTCTGTGCAAAGTTGCAGTAGACGGTCCCCGTTATCTGACCTGCGACCAACGAGTCCCCATCGGCCACCTAAACGACTCTCTTCTGTGCCTAGACGCCCGACCTGAGCATTCAAGTCTCCGGCTAGTACTACAATATCTGTCGAACGCACTTTCTGGAGAAGAACAGATAACTGGTGGTAAAACTCATCCTTGATTGCATCCGGGCTGCAATCTGTCGGGGCATAGGCGGAGATGACGAAAAGACATCGTTTCTCACGCCGATTTCTTCTCACTTTGATGGAACTTTCTAATCTAACAGCACATAACCGACTGTTAATGGGGATCCAATCGACTAGTGCTGCCTCAGCTCTAGCGCTTAGTGCGACACCAACGCCAGCAAGACCAGACGAAGATGCCACAGGGTCCCCGGATAAGCGCACGTAAAACAAGCTTTTCGAAGCGACAGATGGAGATCGAATTTGTAGTACTTCGCCAGAGTCTTGAATACGGGTCTCGGATAGACAACAACATCGATATTAAGACTTTCCAAAGACATAGCCAGCCCTATCTGTTGTCCGACCTGCATAAATGTGCGAACGTTGAAGGCAGCCAGTTTGAATGGTGCACGTGGTTTCAGAAAAACTGCTTCAGTACTCATATTCGGTGGTAACATACAATTTTCAACCGGACAGTGACTCGAGAACGTTTAGATACAGTCGAATTTCCACCAAAGACGAGCTGCTGTATAAGTCGAAAAATAAGTATAGACAGAGTAGGAATAAAAGAGGGTGAATAATGTCGTAGTAAATAATAATAATAATAATAATAATAATAATAATAATAATAATAAATGATAAGAGTAATAACAATAATAATGGTAATAATAATAGTAATGACAATAATTTGAATCATTTGTTTGTTATTCGAAGCGAGAAAAGTAGTTCCCATAGATATAGAGAGTTCATCATTTGCGTGTGGGCTGTGATACTGCCCGGGTGCCCAGATCGAAGCAGGTGGTTTACTTGGGGGTCCACACCCCGAGCCTTTGACCTAAAGGTCTAACCCACAAGGCAGTGGAGCATCGTAAGGAGATGCAGTCCCATGTTAGCCGGTGACCGAAAATGGGTTCATACGCCATTTGTTCCCTCAGGATACTGGAGCCCATGTGCACCATTGGTTTGGTTTGGGATCTGGTTAGAGCGCCGGACATTCGCTTTTCGTCCTCTCATTTTCGTAAACAACACCCCCGCCACGAGAAGGCAATGAGTAGGACTTCCCTGGCAGAGGCTGTATATGCGTGGCCATGTGAGAGTATTTCGAGAGGTAGGGCAGACCAACCCCGCTCTCGGTCATACCAGGGCATTTGGGGACACAAACCATTGCCAAAAATCAATTTTTGGTGTAGATCTGTGAAATTTTTTGAGTTTCAATGACTAGTGAAGTCCAACGGTGTTGCGTGTGGGGCAGTTACCTACCGAAGACAACGGAATGTCACGTAATATCGTGGATTAATTGAAGTGAGACATTAAAATTGTTGAATGCCAGCCCAATGATCTAGATGTTAAGCTTTTGCCCCGGAACCGAAGGTCCTGTGTTCGATGCCTTTTGGTACGGGTCATGGATGTACACTGCCGAGAAGTTCCATCCTGAGAGGAAATGGCCGTCCAGTGTTTTCAGGTTTTCAATGGTGGCTTAACTTGGATTGGTTCTTGATTTCAGTAAAAATCAATTTTATAGCTCTATTATTCTTCAGCAAACAAAGGTTTAGATTCTAGGTCTTATTCTAGCACGCTATATCCATTCACCATTAATATTTTACTTGTACTTGCTAGATGTCGTTTTTACTAAATTTATATTGCGCGTCTGTGGTATAAAACTGACTTCTTATTTTATGGACACCCCAAAATCAGTTAATAATGGCTCAGCTAATAGAAGACCAGTTTATCACATATAGGAGACAAAAAGTTTAGTTGGTTGGATTTCATCCTAATCGACTATTATTTATGTAGAAGTATATCTGATAGTCAAATTAGTTTTAGAGAATAAATATGCCAAAAAGTTACATCTGTGACCGCGTACTCAAGAAGAGGGAAACGGAAGACAGATTTCTGTAGACATCTCTAATGTTCTTGCTGAAAATGTATTGTTCATTGATGTATACTATCCTACTTACTGTTTAATCTTGCTTGAAGTTGTGGGCGAGCTTTTAAACAGTGTTCTTTTGATTTTAGAATATATTTCTCACCATATGTTTATCAATAGAAAGTAACAACATACAAAAATTTACGTATATTTTTGATTGATTATATTGTAAAAAAGATTGACATATGCTTTGATATTTTATAGGCTGATATTATTAACCTCTCCCGAAAGTATGTCAAAGCTTTGGCCGAAACTCAGAATGTGGGTTTTGATGATCCTTACAGCGCAGAGTTGACGGGATATGGTATGTACTTTACTGTCAAGTCAGTAAATTGTTCTTTTATTAATTTAATCGTTAATCCAATAAATTCATGTTCGTAATACATTTAATAGGTTTTCATATTAGAATCATCATTATTTGACATATATCATCACCAAATCATGATAATATCTGATGTGTATGTAATAGTATTCCGTGGATTTAAGTTTCCCATATATAAAAACTTCCTTGTAAAATTTTCGGATACTATTCACACTATCATTCTTTCTTCCACCTGTTAAGAGATGATAAACCTTGTATGTTATAGAAAATTTGCGTCATCAATACGGTAGAGAAATCGATAACTCTCTTCTAGTATTCCTTTCAAAGTGAAAGAGTATTACCAAACCGCTGCCATCAGTCAGAACACTTTGAATCTACTGTACGTTCAGTGTAAATTCGTTATCTGAATCCTAGGTATTTTATTTTTCTCAATAATTTTATGAGCTGTGTGTCGGATTCTTTCCAAAGGGAAACAGTTACTTAGAATTAACATTACAGATCATGGAAGAAGGCAAGTGAAAAGAATTTACTTAATGTGCTTGTTTTTCCTCAATTTTATGATAGACTCAAATTTAGTCAAATGAAAGTTCCTCTGCAACATTCTACATCTCTTGTACGTCATTTAGTTTTCAGTAAAAAGTATAACCACTCTTTCTAATCAAATGAAATACAATTTGACCTAAAAAAGGTCAGTAATAACTGTAAGACTTGCTTATAATTTTCTAAATTATCACGAATCACTTTCACTGGTTGACGGTTAGTTAACTTTCTCACTGTTAAAACAAAATACATTTTTAATGCTTAATTTATGGAGATCCATGAAATTAATAATTAAGATTTGATTGATTGTTTTAAAATTGATCCTAGTGTGTAGTTACACTAGTCTTCAAATATTAGGTTGTGGTTCTACAAACAGTACACGAGTTGTATTCAGCTATAAAGCAATGGAAAATATTTATAGCTGAGAGATCACGACAGTTCCGAATATAAGGTTGTGTCAATGAAATAGTTGAATTCTAAAGGACAGTTACTTTGTATTCCTTTCGATTTCAGTGGTTGTACGTTGACGTTTACTTCAAATGTAAAGATATTTGTACCTTTTTTTAAATTGACTAAATTTAATAAGTGATTAGTTTCATTTGATCTTTGGGCCACTTATATTTTTCTCCCTGTTTTCAGACTTAAAGAAAACATTGGCCGTTATTCTAGACGACGTGCTACGTCGTATTGACCAGATAGAATCAAAACTCTCTAATTTAACGAACTCATCTCCTGAAGTAACTAGACATTATTCCGAATCTATAAACTCGGCACCATTTGTACCTCATACTGCTCGAGGTTTGAAAATGAATAATAATGAGAAATCAAACTACAAAAAGATTAACTATTTGGGTAAGCTCTCTTGATTACTTTATGAGTTTGTTTTTACTTTGTATGATACCTAAACCTATATTACAATTTGTGATATGTCTACTAAATAAACATATTTCCTGTTACTCCTCACGGAGGAACATAGGCCGCCCACTAACACTCCATCCAACACTGTCCTGGGCAGTCCCTTCCATTTCCTACTCATCCTTTTCATGTCTGCTTCCAATTCTCGACTCATTATGTTCTTTAATCTTCCTCTTTTCCACTTCCCTTCAGGACTCCAAGTTAGGGCTTGCCTCGTGATTCAGTTTGATGATTTCCGAAATGTATATCCTATCTACTTGCAGCATATTTTCCTAATTTCCCCCTCAGCTAGAAGTTGGTTTGTTCTCTTCTACGGCAGGCTGTTGCTGATGGTATCCGGCTAACGGACATTGAGTATCTTGTATAGACAACTGTTTAGAAATACTTGTACTTTTTTGGTGATAGCTGTAGTAGTTCTCCAAGTTTCAGCTCCGTACAGTAGAACTGTTTTGATATTCATATTGAAGATTCTGACACTGATATTGGTTGGCAGTTGTTTTAAGTTCCATTTTTTCTTCAACTGTAGGAACGCTGCTCTAAACATACTTCCCGGTGGGAACATAAACCATTCTGAACAATGAATGAGCGATAACTAATTTTTCACCCATATTTTTAAAAAGAAAATGAATCACTGATGCATAAATTTCTACTCTAATTAAAGAACATGAGACATACTTACTTACGCCTGTTACTCCCAATGGAGCATAGGCCGCTGACCAGCATTCTCCAACCCACTCTGTCCTGGGCCTTCTTTTCTAGTTCCATCCAATTCTTGTTCATTTTTCTCATGTCTATCTCCAGTTCTCGGCGTAATGTGTTCTTTGGTCTTCCTCTTTTCCTTTGACCTTCAGGATTCCATGTGAGGGCTTGTCTTGTGACGCAGTTCGGTGCTTTCCTCAATGTATGTCCTATCCACTTCCAGCGCTTCTTCCTGATTTCTTCCTCCACTGGGATCTGGTTTGTTCTCTCCCACAGTACGTTGTTGCTAGGCTGAAATAGACAGATTAAAAAAGTTTAAGTACACCAGTGTAAGATGTTATGACCTTGCGTCTCCCAACTATATTGTTTTTGCCAAAATCCCCGTCGCCAATTGTTATGACCTTGGATGTCTGATTTTCTATCACGCGATTTATCTACCAATCCGGATACGACTTATACGAATCTTCACACTAGGCCAACCAATGACGTTCAACCGGTGTGGGCAGTTTAGCGTCCTTATTGGTCCTATGTCCTACGAGCCCTTCCACTTGAGTCCAGAACAAGATACCAGCTTCAGAATCAGAGCAGATCAGACCAGATCGTTTATTTCAGACATACTTGGTTTATATATCAATCATACAGACCGCAACGTACCATAAAATAGGAAATAATATTTGTACACAAATAAGCCCAAAAAGTGGCTGTGAATGTGGGAGGCATTAGTTAATAAACTGAACATAACTTAAGAAGCGTAAATCGTACAATAATAAAGTATAGGTCAAAATGAAGCTTATCATAAAAGGAATACAAATATACATAGTGTAATTGTTGAGTAGTTATACAATAAGAATATTTATAGAATATTAGTCCATGAATAGACCTTGGAAGTTACCTGTAATTTAATCTTCACTAGGATAACATAAGATATAACAGTTCATAATATCAACGGCTACTTGCCCCGTGCCATATAGGGAAGTGAGAACCTCCAAGTCGATATCCATGAAATGATCGCTATTACTCAGTGGTTTATTTGTCTTAAAGGAGTTCAGTAAGTTTAATGTAACTGATTTTTTTTCGGTCTTTATAAAAAATGTATAGTCTGTAGTTTTCCAAAGTTTATTTTGAGTTATGTTTGTTTACTCATTGCTTTGATTCTTCAGATCTTCTACAAGATGCACAAGAAAACTGTGTTGTTCAAGCTAGAGAAATACCACTATACCCGGAATGTTTTTCAAAGATTGAAGTAAGTTTTGTAAATATGTTTCATTTTAATGAAATAATTCAAGTTGTTTATAGTTTTACAATTTGAAGTAATAAAACATGGTAGTAAGTAAAATTTTATATTATCAGTCATCCGGTTCGTTATAACAAAACAAATACTGCAGAAGTTTGAACTTGTTTTTTTGGATTATTACTAATTATAATTTTGTTGTAACTAGATTACTATGTGTATGTATATTCCACTTACCGGTCACTGATTTTTCGACTCATGGATAGAGCATAAATAGAGACTTGTCAATAATAGACTAATAGGAACTTAGCTATTGACCCGAGTTTAATGGTGCTGAGTGGGTATTCAATTGGACAAGTCAGAGATACTAGGCGCGAAATAGACCGAACTAGAATCAGGATTCTATTTAGTGACTTGTCACGTGATATTCATCGGGGGTCCTCAGACATAACACGCCTGCCTAGGGTAAAGCGGGGTTGGGACGGGTAAGTTTAACCTGGAGCTCAGTAGTTATAAACGTGACAACAAGGCCAGCAACAGAATTATTTAAAAAAAGACTTGCTTAGGAGTTTGAAGGTTAAGGATGTTTATGCTTGTCTACTGCTAAGATTGGATTCTTCAGATTGTTATTTTTGATAGGTGGTGTTACTGTATTCTCTTAAAGATTGAGTTTCACAAACATAAATACTTTTCATATAATAATTTTCTTCATATCTCTAATAAACTAAAGATAAATTTGGAAAAAAAAAACGGTGATTTTTTTCTTGTTTGCTTTTGTGTTGTTAAGTATTTAATTGGTAATGATTGATAATGTAGCTTATCTCATATCTTCCATTCTCAAAATGTTTCTTGTGGTTCATTAATTTACATTTGTTATGTCCTATGGTCCACCAAATATCATGTAACAAGATCGTCAGTCAGAACACCGACTAATATGACCTTGTCTTTGTGCTAAATCAATAATGCGTTAATCAGCACGAGCTGCCTTGAGTCAACTCGGAGTCCTTATTAGTCCTCTGTATAGTAGCTTCTCGCCTAATCCAGCCCATCCAGTCAGGAACGCAAATATCAACCTCCGCTATATGAATCTTATATTTCAGACATACTTGGTTTATATACAAGCAGTTTAGACCGCATCGCACGATAAAATGAAAGATATTTTTTATACAAGATCAGGTCAAAAGTGGCTGTGTGTGGGCTACTGTAACTGATAAATTGGGAATAAGTTAAGAATAGTAAATCGTATAACCGTGACCAATAAGTCAAATGGAAGCTTATGATAAGAGGTATATATATAATCTAGGTACTTAATAATTACCCAATCAGAATATATGTAATAGTAGTCCATAAATAATTTCTAGAAGTTGTAATTCATTTATTCTTCGTTCGGATATAACAACATTTCACTACAAATCTTCATTAAATCTACGTTTTAGTGTGTTGATATTTTAACATTTCAGTTGAAAGATGATGGGAAACTTTTGCTTTGTAATAAAGTTTGTTTTCACACTAGGCTTTATGTTCGTTTTGGTGAATTTCGTTATGTTCGATAGATAAAACAGTTGTACGAATCTATAGAATGATTTATTGGGCATTATATCCCATTAGTTTGTACACTGAACTTCAACAAATAAATTGAGTCTTGAACAAATCTTTTGATTTAATCTTTTAATAACGTTGACGTTTCAGTCTTTTTATTAAAAAGAAAGACTTGGCCCGAAAAGCTAATTTATTCTCTGGTTTCATAAACAAATATGACAGCTTTTTAAGAATATCAAGTATCGATAAATCTATTACAATCATGAATATAATTCAATAACGTGGTTAGACCTTTTTACTGGTAATTGTGTTGCTTCATGAAATTCGGTTCTCTTCAGAAAACTAAACGTACTATACCATCTCACAATAAATCGTTGCCCAATAACAATTACAAAGGCTTCAATTCAATGTCGAATGCTAAAGTAGTTCAGAAATTCAAGCTGGACTCTACCGAATAAAATGCTAAGTGTACCTTTCGTGAAAAAAATATGACATACGCTATTCTAAAACCCCTATAACATTGTAGATATTCTATCTTAGTACATGTGACTATTTATCATAGAATGCTTATTAGTGACAACTATATCCTTTTAATACTTGGGACTGTGTGTGTGCCGTCAATAATATTGTACATTAAAGTGAAATCACCTGTGATTATGCACTTTTCCATAAATTTTATGCTTTACGTTATTCACAACTCTATCACAGATATTCTGTCAAAATACTTTATGAGTCATTTCTGTTCAAACAATGTACTCAAGTTTTCTTTTTATTACGACTCTCGTTTTGCATCAGCCCGATTATGTCTGTAAATTGGCTTATATTCTGTAGTCATTTTAAACATTTATTATTATTATTATTATTATTTTATAAAGTTTTGACAACTGGTTAGTGTGTTCATCGTTTACATTTGGTTCATTGCCTGTACGAAGTTTAGGAGTTTCACTGCTGCATCTAGTCAATTGTCTTGTGTAATACGACTTCTTATCAGTCAAAAACCAGTGTATTTTCTGACTATTAACAAGTCTGATTTTCTCATTATTATGTTTTGCGGCCGTTCTAGCCTACTACTGATATAAGTTCGAACCAGCCACTTGAGTGAGGAGGAAGCTTTATTGACTAAATCTAGATCGACTCATTCATAAATGTACATCTTTTTCCCCTAGAAAACATAGCAACATTTTCAGAAATTGGTGGCCGGTGATTTGAAATAATCTTTAAGGTTATGTTTTGGTCTAATATATCACCTATCATGCTATATCTCTCCATTCATTATTCGATTAAACGTCTCACAACTAACATTCAACAGTTAGTCACGTTTTATTAACTTGGAACAGCAATTTGTATTCTTATTGTTAACCTTGTAGTTGTATTTCTTTTTGATACAAGCAATCTAACGAATTCAATAAAACCTTCATGTTCACTCATATACACTAGTCAATCGCTGATTGTTTACCATTTTCATTTTATGTGGTTGTTTGTACTAATCAAATTTTACTGATCAAGTTACAATTTTGTCACCTGACTAAGTGGTGGCTCGGAGTGAGGATCTAATTGGTTGTTGATATTTGCAAACCAACCCCAGTTTGAAGGTTTTTTATTGGTTGTTTAGATCTCATCAAAGTTCAGTTACCCATTAATAAGATGATATTCTCCAAAAAAAAATGATTAAATGGATACTATTTTCATTCTGCTTTACTAGTGGTTGCGAACCCGTTGGGGAACTCATTCATGTTATGTTGAATTAGGAATCGATGGATCAGAATGTTCACTTATCCGGTATCTTAGTGATGTAAGTGTTATATTGAATAATTTTGTCTCTGACTTTAAAGAGCATGGATTTATTTTTTACAAAATTTGTGCGAACGCCGTACTTCGCTTAATTCTACCAAAAGTGAATCGAGAGCAAACCATATGTTCACTCCAACAACAAATCCGTAATAGCGTTAGAGTTATCATCAAATTTACATGAGAATTTCCAAGCATCTTGATTTGTCTACTAGGGCTAATCAGTCGAAAATAGACTAACGGATGTATTTAAATTTAGGATTGATCAGAGCCTGTGATAGTTTGTCTCAACAATGTCTACAATCATCCAAACTATTCTCAACAACTAAACAGTAATCATGCACTCATTAATAACTAACTTCATAATAAATTCTAGACATCCTAGTGGGAAATCATAATTGATAGAGTTGAACTATAGAGTGGGTATGTGGCAAGTATCACTGATGATATTGAATAATCGTAATACCATATCAATAATTGATGGAAGTTAGAAATTTGGACTATTAGATTTTAACTCAACTGCTTAAAGGTAATGTGATCTCCGTGAGGTTAGGTATGTTCGACTCCTTTTAGAGTCAGGAGTGGTGGACATGACGGATGGTTCCCAAGCCAGGGTGGAACAATTACTATGTGTTTTCCGATTTTCAGTGATGCTTCATTCAATTTTATTTTGTGAAAAAAACTATCTGAAAATATCTATGATAAAGTTTTGTTTCATGACGATTATAGTTCTTGATAAAGTTGTAAGTAATCAGAAATTGCCCTGAAAGCTTGAGCAACTGTTACTGTCATCACTTATTTACATGATTCTGAGTTTTTCCAAAGAACACATTAACATTAGTTTAATTGGTTATAATATGTGTTATCGAAATCGCTCGGCTCGTATCTGCTGCTTGATATAGTGGCCGGGCTTGCCTCTTATAAAAACCTCTGGTTAAGTTATATTAGTTAGAACATTTATTCCTTTAGGTTCTACAATTCTATGCAGGTTGGTTGGAGTACGATATGACTCAAAATCCTAGTGCAAATTTGTACTGTTGACTGTACTGGAGTGTTACAACAGTAAGGTGTTACCCTCACTCAATCAGCATCTTCAGTAATACTGCTTTCCTACGATGAAAGGAAGGGGTTGGTTAAAGTCTATGTTGGGGTGATCCAGAAAATTGCTTGCAAAAGACAAGCAAGCATCAGGAAACACTAAGAAGCGTTTCGTCCAATCAGCGTTCACTTGGAGTCTTGGCCAGAAATATCAAGGAAGCGAAACGTCACATGCAGAGGCTCTGATTGGTTGGCTGCTACACTGCTACTATGTTTAGTAGCACTCCAGAATATTCCAGCGACCCAAGAACATTTAAAATATTATAAAAACCCTATATTTTCTGTAATAAAATGAACCTTGGAGTAAACTACTTTTCGCATACTTTGAGTCTTCTCTCTCGTGTTCAGATCGCTGTCTAGTTCTAGCTTGGGGGTTACAGAATAGCTTAGGAGACGAATATAACGTTCAAATCCGCAAGACTTATCAGTCTACTTTAAAAATAATACATCTCATTTTGCCTCATGCATTTCTGTTACAACTGATCGGTATATTTAGTCTATTTATAACAATTCACATCAAAGTTTGGCATAGTTTGTGAATCGGCTTTCACCAGGAATATTTTTTGGTTGTGGACCGAATTACTTGTTGAAAACCTGTTTATATGGAATCAAGAATATACCAAGTTCGAACTGTTGATAATTATTTCAGCGTTTTCTCCATAAATAAAAAATCCGGTAGTAATTAATAATTTATTCAATATTTGGGTTATTAAATGCATCTAGTTTTGGACGTCTCTTTTAACTGTATAAATAATCTCTTATCTTTTTCATATTCTACTGACAAACTAAGCTGAAATAATTATCAACAGTTCGAACTTGGTATATTCTTGATTCCATATAAACAGGTTTTCAACAAGTAATTCGGTCCACAACCAAAAAATATTCCTGGTGAAAGCCGATTCACAAACTATGCCAAACTTTGATGTGAATTGTTATAAATAGACTAAATATACCGATCAGTTGTAACAGAAATGCATGAGGCAAAATGAGATGTATTATTTTTAAAGTAGACTGATAAGTCTTGCGGATTTGAACGTTATATTCGTCTCCTAAGCTATTCTGTAACCCCCAAGCTAGAACTAGACAGCGACCTGAACACGAGAGAGAAGACTCAAAGTATGCGAAAAGTAGTTTACTCCAAGGTTCATTTTATTACAGAAAATATAGGGTTTTTATAATATTTTAAATGTTCTTGGGTCGCTGGAATATTCTGGAGTGCTACTAAACATAGTAGCAGTGTAGCAGCCAACCAATCAGAGCCTCTGCATGTGACGTTTCGCTTCCTTGATATTCCTGGCCAAGACTCCAAGTGAACGCTGATTGGACGAAACGCTTCTTAGTGTTTCCTGATGCTTGCTTGTCTTTTGCAAGCAATTTTCTGGATCACCCCAACACCTCCCCTCTTTCAAAAAATAAGACTTCTTCGGGTCTACTTGCAGCTTTATAACTGGTTTCCTGCGGCGTTCGGACTTTCTTGGTATCCGGCGTCTATGAGTATCTGTTAGGGTTCCTGTCATTGGAGTATCTGTAATTATATCCAGCGGAAGCCTCACTTGACTATCGACCCTGTCTAGAGTCCTTTTCTCTCTGTGTATTTGATTAATGTGTCTAATCCACATTCCGAAAGCCCCACGCACTTTGCATAAAACACTCCCCATTCTCTTCTCAATGACTCCCGGTTCCCAACGATTTTTCCCAATGTATGATTTAACGAGCACTTTATCACCGACGTTAAAACTACGAATATTCTGATTCTGTCTGCGTCCATCCATTAGATTAGGCGGTAACATGACGTCGAATATGGTTCGGATGCTTCTCCCGAACATCGCTTCAGCAGGGGACTTCCCATTCGGGACAATAGGGTTCTATAAGCTGTTAAGAATTTCGTAATTACCTGACTTGTCCCCTCTCCTTCCCCTTTCAGTAGTGCTCTTTTGAATGAGTCCACGAAGCGCTCTGTCTGGCCCATTGATTGAGGGTGATACGGTGGAGATCGTATGTGCACAATCTCATTAACGTTGAAGTGCTTGAATGATTCTGCAGTGAATTGTGAGCCGTTATCGGTCACTAAAGTCTCCGGAACTCCAAAGCAGCTAAACAGTTCGGATAACTTGCTGATTGTTTCACTGGCTGTGCAATTCACCATGGCGTAGATTTGTGGCCATTTTGTGAGTGCGTCTACTATGACTAGATACATTCTTCCTCGTATTGGACCGGCGAAATCTGCATGCAGCCTCTCTCAGGGACTATCCGGCTTTTCCCATTGTTGCGGTTCACACTTGCTTGGACTTTGGCTGCTTGTAGGCACGATGAACAATTGCGGCATCTGGTTTCGATATCTTGATCCATCGTAGGCCAGTATGCGTAGCTTCGAGCCAACGCTTTCATCTTATTGATACCAGGATGACCGCTGTGTAATTGTCTCAGAACCTTGTAGCGTAATACTTTTGGAACAATAATTCTGTCACCAAACATAATACATGAGTCGACCATCATGAGTGAGTCCCATCGGCGAAAATACTGTAGCATTTCTCCTTGAAAACGACGGTTCGGCCACTTGATGAGAAGATAACCACTAACTTCTCTTAAAGTATTGTCATTTTCCGTGGCTTCTTTGATGGCCTTGAAAGTAACTGGTAAACCATCGACTGCGTCTTCCAATACTCGATGTACTTCTGTTTCCGTCTCGATTGCTGCCACCAAAGTGTCTTCTTCCTGTTTTACTTGTGAACCAATCAGTCTAGATAAAGCGTCAGCCTGTTCAAAATCAGTAGTCGGCTGGTACTTGATCTTGAAGTCATAACCCAAGAGTGTAGTTCCCCAACGTTGCAGTCTGTTTGCCGTGTATACAGGTATACCTTTCTTCGACCCAAAGATGGCTAGTAATGGTTTATGGTCAGTTAATAGAGTGAACTGACGTCCAAATATCATCTTGTGAAATTTCTTGACAGCGAGGACAATCGACAATGCTTCCTTCTCGATCTGACTATAGTTACGTTCTGCTGACGTTAACGATCTAGCTGCATGTGATATCGCTTTCTCAGATCCATCTGGCATGATGTGAGAAATAATTGCTCCAATGCCGTAGTTTGAAGCGTCTAATGCTACTACAATGGGTAAAGATGGATCGTAATGGGTGAGCAGCAGATCCGAGACTAGTACTTTCTTGATTTCATCGAAAGCGGCTTGGCAAGTTGCAGACCAATTCCATTTTACATTCTTCGCCAGAAGGTTATTCAAGGGGGCACGTAATTAATGAAGGTCCGGAATAAAAGCTCCATAATGACTAACAAGTCCCAAAAAGGATCGTAGTGTGGGGACATCCGTCGGTCTGGGCATAGTTTTCACTACCTGGGTATTCTCCGGATCTGGTCTTCTGCCATCTTTGTCGATTATAAATCCAAGGTAGCGTACCTTTTGCATACAGAAGTTACATTTCTCTGGACGAAGCCGAAGTCCATAATCGGCTATTCGTGACAGCACCTGGTCGAACTTCTTTTCTAAGTCTATTCTATCTACTCCCATAATTATTATATCATCTAGATAAGCTGCAGCACCTGGGACATCCTGTAGCATAGTATCCATTATTTGCTGAAATATGGATGGGGCTGTCTTGACTCTGAATGGTAGTCGATTATACCGGAATAGCCCTTGTGTGTGTTTATGGTACGCAGGTTTTTAGGCTCGTCAGCAACAGGGATTTGTGAATAAGCTTCTGATAAATCCAACTTTGCGAAAAGCTTACCTCCATTCAATTTAGCAAAAAGATCTTCAGGTAAGGGTAATGGATACTGATGAATTTCTAAGGCTTCGTTCAACCCGGTTGAGTGGTCGGCACATAAACGGACGCTACCATTAGTCTTCTTTACTACTACTATCGGTGCGGCCCATTCTGAGAAATTCACCGGTTCAATGACACCCAGTTTCTGAAGTCGTTCTAGATCTGGTTCAACCACTGAGAGGGCAGCATACGGTACGGGTCTTTTAGGACGAAACACTGGTTTTGATCCCTGTCGAAGGGTAAGAGCAGCCTTAAATTTAGTGTATTCTCCAAGACCATCACTAAATACCATTTTATGGCGTTTTAATAATGCTTCCATTGAGTTTTCCTCATCAACTTTCGACGTACTGACGTTGTTGCAGATTGCGTTTATGGGGCGATCTGTTAACTTCAACCTTTCTATCTATGTATATATAATCAGTATGTGGTTGTAGAGTTTCATTAAAACCATAAACCGATCAATGTTAGATCACCATTGAAAAACCGGAAGCACTGGACGATCGTTTTGTCTCAGTATGTGACTCCACAGCAGTGCTCATCCACGGCCACCATTGAGATTAGACACTAACATCGTTGGACATCAGCTCAGTGGTTTAGAGCTTAGGTGTCTGCACGCGAAACCGAAGGTCCTGGGTTTGATGTTTTGTGGTACGGGGTCGTGGATGCACACTGCTGATGAGTCTCATACTGAGAGGAAATGATCGTCCAGTACTTGCAGGTTTTCAGTGATCTAATATATATATATATATATATATATATATATATATATATATATATAACGCTTCGGATAAATCAAAAATATTTCGCTTGGGACTTTTTTTGCCAGTACCTGTAGTCTAAATGAGCCACGAATTAAGGTTTAAGTGAATGAAATAATCAAGTTCCTGTAAATCTGTAAATTTAAATCAAGCGATTCAATAATAAATCTGAACCGTTCATTGTTTTATCTGGTTAATTTTAGCAATTATATTTCCGACTGAAAATGTGATTATTTAATTTGTAAGTTGTTTCAGTTTTTTCGTTGTTGATGTTAATTACTGCAACTAGTCAATTCCAGGTAAAACGAAACACGTATATTGGATTCTGTTGCTAGGTTCTACCCAAGTTTGCTTCAAGATGGGATTGTCTTAAAATTTATTATCACGACTTTTCGTATATCAATAACATAGACTATGGTGTTTCAGTTATAAAAACATATTTTTACAGGAACTAATTTACTAATATTCTATCCATTTGATATCTATTTTTTGAAACGTTAAGAAGAATTCGAAAGCAGTTAGATTTTTCAATGTTTTTGAATTGATGTGTTTCATTTTCAATCATCACTTTTGAATTTCTAAGGGTTTTTTCCATCTAATTCTCTTATACCTCGTTTTTTTTCGAAACAGGTTGAAAGTTTCTGTCCACGATTGGATAGCAGAAAATTTCTGAAACGTCATAGTGAAGCTCAGGTATGAATAGTGTACATATATATATGTATTATTATTTCTGTGACTATTGTTAATGAACCGATAAATTCATTGTTTTCACAGTTGGGTGTGTTTGTAGATACTTTTATTCAGTAAACTCATGTCATGTCTTCACAAAGCTGTATTGATGACATTAGCTCTTTCACCAACAGAAAATCAGGCTATGTTCTAAGCTACACGATTATATGGTATAATCTTAGTCTCTTATGTACTGTAAAACGTGAATTATTCTCAGCTAATCGCTACCATTTAGAAATTCCGAGTCGTCATAGAGCATTTCTTTCATTACGACAAATATTTCTTCGTCTGACTACTGGTATCATATCTACCATCTTCAATTTTTGCGGGCAATGATAATTACACAAATTTATGGTGTTATGGCTTTGTTTTTTCGCAAAAACCCTGTCGTCGATTTTCATGGCTTATGGCCTGTCAATTCTTACGTGATAAGATCACCAATCAAAACACGACTTATACAATCTTAGTACTGTGCCAACCCAATGACGTATTGACCGGTATGATCAGTCTAGAGTCCTTTTTGCTCCTTCTCGTTTAGTCCTGTCTGTTGATACCAGAACACCGATATCAGCTTCCACCATACGAATCATATATTTCAGACATACTTGGTTTATATACAAGCGAATAAGACCACATCATATCATAAAATTGGAAAATAACAATTATACAGGATCAAGCCAAGAAGTGGCCGTGATTGTGAAAGGCTGTAACCGATAAATTGGGAGTGACTTAAAATCTCCGAAAAATGCCCATTATATTAAGAATAGTAAATCGTATAACAGTAACCAGTAGGTCAAATAAAAGCTTATGATAAAAGGAATGCAAATATATGCAAACTAGTTACTTAATATATATATTGTGAGGGTATGACTGCTGAGATAAACCGTTCGGCAATTCTATGTCCTTAATTGTTTATAACTTACGGACTGAGGCTTGATATATATATATTTTTGGTCATTGATAAAAAGTTAATAAATTTTATTATTAAGGTCAAGCTTTGTTTCTGAACACATATAAACACACGTCCAATTGTAGCACTCCCCGGAACGCCAACGTACAATTTGTCAAAATAAATTTCACGAATACTGAGACATCTAGTAGATTCAGCCAAACACTCCATCAAATCCCCAACACAATTCCTGGACCAAATTAAGGATATTCAAATCAACAACGACGAACTCATGATATCCTTCGACGTAACAGCACTGTTCACCTCAATTGAACCACAGTTAGCAAAAGAAACTATATCCCTGCTACTCAACAACGACACAAATCTCACCAAATACACGACGCTTCAAATTCAAAGTCTACTGGAACTCATCGATTTATGCCTAACAACATATTTTCAACTCAACAACAAAATCTACGAACAAACGAAAGGGACACCAATGGGATCACCAATATCAGGACTGATCGCAGAGGCAGTGATGCAAAGACTAGAGGCCACGATATTACCAGTGATCAAGCCAAAAATTTGGATTCGCTACGTAGACGACACCTTCGTCATCGTCAAAAAGAATGAACTGGAAAACACATACAAACTGATCAACAACGTTTTCAATGACATCAAGTTCACAATGGAACAGAAGTCAAACAACCAACTAGCATTCTTGGATATATTGATCACTAGAACTGACACAGGAAAACTGGAAACTCAAGTATATAGGAAACCGACCCATACAGATCAAATTCTCAACTACAACAGCAACAACCCAAGAGCTCACAAAATCAACTGCGTACACACATTGTTCAAGAGGGCGAGGACACACTGGCAGCACGAAAAAAATGAAGAGAAATACCTGAAGGACATATTTCAAAAGAACGGCTACCCAATCAACTTCATCAAAAAGCACCAACGGCACACAGCATCAGACCCAAGTCAAGCACAAAAATCAACAAAAGGATCACCCTACTGTACATACAAGGAATATCAGAAACCGCAACGAGACTGCTGAAAACCTTCGGGATAGGTGTGGCACACAAACCAACAAAATCACTACAATCAATCTATGCAAACTAAAGGATGAAATAACAAAGGAAAACAAATCAAACATCGTCTACAAAATAAATTGTACCAACTGCGACAAACACTACATCGGACAAAGCGGACGCCCCCTCCACCTACGCCTACATGAACATCAATTAGCAGTCAAACGCCATGATATCTCTTCACTTATATCAATACACGTGGATAACTACGGACACTCATTCGATTGGAAAAATGTAGAAATCTTAGACAGAGGAAACTCCAAAAACACCAGAGAATTTTTAGAAGCCTGGCACTCAGGTCAATCAGCAATCAACAAACATATTGAAATCAATCCAATTTATCAACCAATCAGGAAAATCATGCATAAATATAGGAACAAAAATCAAACCAATGGGAGACACAACCAAAACAAAGAAGTAAACAATGATAAATTTAAGGTCAACAAGAACCAATCAACATCGAGGTGCACAGAACAAGCTGTGAAACACATATGGAGAAATTCGAACACTTCACTTCTATCTGAAGTTTGTGCTGATGATGTCGTTCAGAAGAACGATGAAAGCTCCACGACCAAACCATCCAGCTCAGAGAACAAAACCACCAAAAACATATAAACACAACTTGTTCATTAGTCATGGTATGTGTATAAAGCATACATTTATGCCAAATTGAAAGTTGTAACTGCCAATTGTGCATTCATCGAATATGTCATCTATACCTGCATTTGATGTGATATAGTTTTAAGTATTCAATTTTCATCTATGTCTATGACATTTTATCAATTTGATCTGGAAATACTGATGACACTTAGTGAGGATTCTTGAGTTGAGGTCATGAAGTTGTATTTTTTGTGAAGCTGGATGTTTATAGACATAAAGGTCTTGTGTCACACAGACTTATACATCTCGCTTAATGTGATGCTTTGAATATGTTTGATGAGCTTTCTACTAAACAATCTTTTGTAAAACCGATTGTTAATTTCTGCCTTGAAATAAACTTCTTGAATCGATGAGAACAAAGACGAAAACCCCAAATATGGTTGATAATACTTCAAAATAGTTTAAACATTATCACTATTTTGCATAGTTTTTTAATTTCAAATAGGCAGAAAAAGAATGATTGTTTGTTTTGTAAAATTCCACGCCAATCTTGATTGACTAGTATCGGTGAGACTATAATTTATGGACGACCTTTGAGAGACACTAAAGTGACTCTTAGAATGTTCACCTATTTATTAGTGCTAAATGAGGGTTATAAAACAGTGTGAAGAATAAGGATCATGATTTACAATTGATGGTTAGAGTTAGAAATAAGATGGTTTTAATCATGAATTGACATTAGCTAAAATGCCAAAACGTTATTTGGACAAATGGTAAATGAATTTTGCGCTAAAATCCAAGACCCGTTGTCCTAAATTTGATTGGTTCGTCTATAAATTATAGTTTCGCCCTGTTGATTGTTTTTATTTTGTATCTACTTTTTCTTAGATAACTCGAGATCTTAATGGTTTGCTTAGCATATTATCCTTAGCTAAAAATCATTTATTATCGAAATCGTTTATGACTACACGGCTAAAACGTATGTGGCCTGATTGGTTAGCAGGAATTCAACATTATATAAATGGAGTTAATTTTTCAAAAGCTGATTATTCATCACTGAATCAGTGTAAATTTTGTTCGCCTGATGATATAGCTTGTGCAAATATTTGTCAGTCTACCAAACTAATAGGTCAGCCGTTTTTATTTGGAAGACCGAAGCTCAATGTAAGTGTGCTTTTTATGCATTGTTTTATTGAACGATTTTCTCTCCTACTTATAAGTGTGTCAAAGAAAAGAAGCTGGTCGTTCCTCTTTCCATATGAAAGAATGATTTGATTTTATTGTGTTAGATTTATTCAATAAACAAGTAATATCCTCCTTTCTTTCATAGACAAACGTCCTGACCGTAGCTTCTGCCTTGGCGTGATGGTCGGGCTTGCCTATCGTGATGACCCAATCGAGCTATATTGGCTGGAACATATGTTTCTGTAGGTTCTACCATGTCAGACAGGTCAATTGGAGAACGGTAAGACTAGAAGTAGCCACTCAAAGACTGAGGGCGAAGTCTTACTGCTGACTGTAGAGGGGTGTGATAGCAGTAATGTGTTTCCCTTTGACAACCATCATCTGCAGTGATGCTGTGTTCTCACAAGGAAAAAATGAGTTAGTAAAGGTTGACTCCGAAAATGTCACACCTCACCTTGCCTCACGGATTTCCGTCTCCGGCGATAAGGTCCTTTGAAGAACGGAGCTAACACATTAAAAACCTTCCACGAAAAGGCCGTGCACGACCGGCCTCAAACAGTTGTCCCTTGGGCTCTGTGGTCACGCCCCCAGGTCGTTAGGCCACCATTAATCCAACTTCCTTTCCAGGTTCCTCAAGAAATACCCTTCCACGGTGTGGGCAGCCGGGAAGTGACACCAGCCCTCATACTCGTTAAAGCACACGAGGCCAGGTTGGTCACATTCAAATCTTTCCTACACCTAATAATTCTCTTATCTCCCCGACTAACGCTCCTCACATCCCTTTATTACCTCGCACCGCTAGGGCAAACGATTCGAGTATACGGAACGTTATTCCTGGTCTCCTGAAAACACGCTCTAAACTACATGTAGGACCTTTTAACATCCGAACACTGTGCCAAATAGGACAACAAGCTTCCTTAGCTAGGACTTTAGAATTCTGCGCCATCGATATGTGCTGCGTCTCCGAAACGCGCATACAGGATCCGATTAGCGTCATCCATTTGATCTCACCATGTCAAAACAAAGAACCGACTCGATTCACACTTCGTGTATCTGGAAGTTCTGATGCTGCTTCTCGTGGGCTCGCCGGCGTAGGTATAGCATTGAGTTCTAGGGCAGAACTAGCTCTCTTAGAGTGGGTCCCAGTAGATGGTCGTTTGTGCGCTGTCTGACTAAACGGAACAATAAGGACTCGGAAAGATGGGGACACTCGTCATCGCCTCTTCGTTGTCTCTGCCTATTCTCCCACTGACTGCAGCTCAGATGATGTAAAATATGAGTGTCGTGGTTCAAAGGACAGATAATGGCGACCGTCTGTTGCAGCTATGCTCAGAAAACCGCCTGTTTCTAACAAATACTAACTTCAAGCATAGGGAAAGACATCTTTTGACATGACGACCCCTAATTCGTCCCAACGTTGGACCCAAATAGATCACATCGCTATCAGCCACCAACAGAGGGGCTCGATAGAAGACTGGTGCACATGCTTAGATTCAGATCATCCTCTAGTTCGAGCGCGCATTTGCCTGCGTCTTACTGGACGTAAGAAAGACGCCGCAAGGAAACATCTTAAAGTCCTGTTTAATGATAGTCAAACTAAGAGTATATTTCAGGAACAACTAGGAAAACAGTTAGGCAGCCATTTAGGTGATGCCCACCCCGAGGCAACATGGAATGATATCCGAAAAGCTGTGGAAAAACAGCAGTGATATCTGCTAGTCAGGTAAATCATCCGGCTCTGAAGATGACAAAGAACGGAGTCAGCTTAAGCGCGGGCTAACAAGAAGCCTACGCACTGATGGGAAAGGCAACGGCAATGGGTAATAGCAGACAATTGTTCAGACTCGATATGGAATCCGGTATTAGGAACCCGACTGTTAGCGGAACACTCAGAGAAAGATGGACATATTATACATTCTCAATCCAGGAGATTGGATCGATGGGCAGAACACTTTAGGGATCAGTTCAACTGGCCTTCAGTCACACTTCGGTTTCCCATGATCTCCAGTCGACCTTAATGGCAAGTTGATGTAAGTCTATTCAAACACAAACATTGGTAGAAGGAGGCACTAAATATATTACGCCACACTTCCTCATTCGACTTGTGTGAGGCTGGAGTACTGCACTAGCACTCGAACCAAAACAAGTAGTTTTCTTAGAGAACCACACTCCGAGCCTTTGATCTAAAGCTCTAATCCACAAGGCAAAAGAGCAACGTTAAGGGGTACAGTCCCATGGTAGCCAGTGACCAACAATAGGTTCATACGCCATTTGTTCCCTAAGGATTCTAGAGCCCATGTGCACCATCGGTTTGAAATCAGGGTTTTCCAACCCCCTAGGTGGACCTCCGTGTCCACCAACCCGGTTGGCGCGCTGGATATTTGCTTTGACACATCTCAATTTTGTAAACAATACCCCCTCCGCGAGAAGGCAGTGAATAGGACTTACCTGACAGTGGCTGTATACGCGAGGTCATGTGGGAGCATTTCGAGAGGGAGAGTGGAATGTCCCCACCCTCGACCGTACCAGGGCATTCGATAGCCAGTTGTAGACAAAGTAGAGCCTGGTATATAAGTGCATCGGCTCAAGGCATCACACCACCACACTGATGCCATAGTAGTAAACGTGGTAACAGTATTAGTGGTGATAGGAAATGTTACACATAGAATATATGAATTTAGAAAATACAGATTCGTGAAACAGAAAAACATTTTAAAATAATTTACAAACTTGAGATTTAAATGAGCTCAAGAAATGAGTGCACATGTTCCAGTGGGGACGTTTCCATGTTATTTAATCCAGGATTTCTAACCAATGGTTAAGTTGATCATGCGAACCCCAACTGGAGAGTCCGAACCTACCTATGCAGCTCAATCCAACCTCCATCGACTTCATGGACTGATGCCAAGTTTTGGTTTGGTCACCCCTACCTTACACCAACCCGCTCGTCACGAGTCAATCTTTCCTTATGTCAGACAATCTTCAAAGTGTGACGGAAGACAATAGTTTGGAAGCGATCTGAATTAGACTTATCCCCTGATAATTGTTGCTGAAACGACATGAACGCGTTTTAAATATAGGGACATCTATCGACTCAGTCCAATATTTTGGATTGCTCTCTAATTACCATACCTTTTTAAATAACTCGGTCAGTTCCTTAACCAGAAAGTCACCATCATCTCTAAAAAGGGCCGGAGGCAAGTCATTTGGTTTCAGTGATTTGTAGCGCTTCAAAATTCGTAGTTCCCTGTGGACATCCTCCTCGTTAGGTGGATCAGTCGTCACAGGCCGTGAAGGGTAGTACAGTCCGACTGATGTTGCCGGGGCAGCAGACCTGTTGAACTGCTCTTCGAAAAACTTTGCCTATCGTCCACGACGCTGATAGATTTTAGTGATTGGCATCCCTTCATTTTCACTGATCGTTTCGCTCATACCAGACCCCTTACCGCCAGTGGCCCGGATAAGTTGAAAGAGCTTCTGGCAGTTGCAAGGTTCAGCTGCTGCTTCCACGCTTCCACCACCAGGCTTATCGGCCCGTACGTTGGCTTTGTCCAATTCCATTGCGCAACAGTCGTCGTTTGTGATCAAAATGACGGTCACTCGGAGTAGACCGACAGGCTTCAACGAGTTGTAAAAAGCCCGAAGAAACCCAGTGCCTATCAGCGGGACGTTTCGCGTAGTCACAAGTGACTTTACTCACCATTTTCCTGGCGTAATGCGATTGTAACCAATGCTCATCTATACTTTTCGGTTGGTTGGTGGCTAGCTTTGAACCTAGCTCGGTTCGATATTTAGTTGCAACAGGAGCTGCAACCAATTTACTGACATCGATCCGTTTGGGACGATGTATTTGTTGGCCACGGAATAGTAAAGTAAGATTAGCGCAAACAACGGCATGATCAGAGTCGAGATAGGTACTCCGAAAGGAGCGGCGGTCTTGTAAACTACCACGCTAGCGGTAAATTGTCGCGATGTGATCGATCTGAGTTCATCCTTGTGATGCAGAGGGAGGACTCTAGGTGGCACATCGGCAATCACTGTGCCGGTAGTTAGTGCTAGCCAGAAACAGGTTTTATTCTGCGCACAGTTTCAGTAGACGGTCACCGTTATCTGACCTGCGACCAACAAGTCCCCATAGGCCACCCAAACAACTTTCTCTCTGTATTTATTTAGCTCATGTTACGCGTGGTTATCTATGTTTTGTGTTATATTTATTTTCAAATATGCATGAATAAATGAACAGATCTCACCTATAAATATATATTTGTCTTTCGATTCACTTGATATCATTTGCGTTTATTTTAATTAGATTCTACTTCACATGGGATTTTTGTCGAATGATTTTTATAAGAATTCTTTTGAATCATATATCTCTAAAGGTAACTACTTATATTTGTTATTATTCTTTTTGAAAAAAATTATTTGTAATTTCGAGATCAATGAAAATGTGATCAATTGATTTGTTATTCGGTTATTGCATTTCGTACATGATTTCTACCTATCTTAACATCCACTTATCGAAGTTAATCCACACATCTCATTAATGACGTGAATAGTGAACAACTAATTTGTGATTTCAAGAAAAAAAGTTTTTTCAAATCTTTCGGTAATTAATAAAACCGACTCCTTTTAAGAAATTTAAAGCAATTAGTCCCTTTGATAAATTTCGATAATGTAATAAGATTATCAGAACTATGTGTATTCAAAAACAGTTTGTTGTCACCTTAAACCTACCCTGGTAATGTTGACTTATTATCCTTGTCTCCTCTTACCTCATTTCTAGTCTAGTTGACCTTTTATTTTTATATATAACTGTTCTTAACAAGTATATGAGTGATCAGATTGTTCGAAATGTATTGCGCTAATATATCACATCGTTCTGATAATCTTCGTCTTCTTATTACACTATCGAAAACCGAGTCCATTGATTCACCGGTTAGAGAAAATCATCAAGTTTTTCTCAATGTTACTTTCATATCTAGTTACTCATGACAATAGTTTATTTGTAGATTAAATTTATCCCATTTGTAATATCAACCAAGAGATTTTGTATTTCTATATATTTTCAAAAATAATAACGAACATAAGTGATTATATTTATATATGTATATCATTTAAATTCGATGTCTACACTTACTAAAAGAGCAAAATTTATTGACATTTCCTTACCCATTTTAATACAATTCCAGGTGGCCCCCTTGGTGAACTTGTTCAGTGGACTGATCTCATAGGTGCCCTCTATATTCTTGGACACAACATAACAATTACTTTTGAAGCTGCTGAAGCAAAATTGTAAGATTATGTTTTCTGAAAGTGAAGTTATTTTTTTTTAATACAGTGAATGTGTCTGTACACGCGCAATTTCACAGTACTCTTAGATTTATCTTACACATTTCTAAATTTGTTATATAACATATAGTCGTGCTGATAATAACAATAATAGCTTATTTTAACACCATTTGTTTAATTAAAATGAAGCTTATTCAACAATAGTTTGCCGTCCTTTTTTACATAAAACTTGGTAATATTCAGAAAAGTTATTAAAATGTTTTTTGTCATCAATGATTAGCTTCTATTAATCCTTATCTACTAACATTTTTCAATAGTTTTACTCCTTTGACATACCTTTTTCATCGTATAACTTACTTAATTAGCAATTTCGACTAATGTTTCTCTGAAGGATAGACGTAAAGGAGGATATATTAGTCACTGTTGTTGTTCCACTTGTAATTATGAAGTAATTAAGCTTCGTGTAAAGTTATAAGCATTATAAAGAAGATATGTATATTTGCATTTAACATGCACAATAAGTCAAGTGACGTAATGATTAAACAGATAATTAGTGTGATATATTCATAGTTGACAAATTAATAGTCATGGAGTTTAAGCAGTTCATCATTATTTAACAGTTTGCGTTCAACTTGATCAACACAATGAACTAAAATCTCTTTATACATTTTAGAATACTGTGTTTGGTAGGTAATGCAAGTTATCATTTATAGACAATGAACTTCATTATTATAAACTTTCCAGATTATTTTTTAAAGTGTGGAATACTGTTGAACTTGATATACGTAAATAATATATATATATATATATATATATATATATATATATATATATATATATATATATATATATATATATATATATATATATATATATATATATATATATATATATAACTGATATATTACTGAAGTTTTAACTTGGAAATTTTGCATCTATAATTTTTGACGATATAGCTGCTTACTAGATGGTATGACATTACGACATGGTGAACCTCATTGCCTCCGGGCCATGTACATTTCGTGAGATAAACAATTACCTACATTGAAAGTTATGAAAATTATGCGTTAAGTGATATATTAAATAATCAGTTTTTATTTTTCAAAATCTGTGTAATTGATTAAAGAATGCATTAGGCATACATACGTTATCAATTAATCATAATCATTATATAGCCTGAAACAAATGTGCATTACTATTAGTTGTCATACCAGATTAACGTGACGAGATGAAATTAACAACATAATTCGTAGATAAGTCGAAATAATGAAGTGAAAATGGCAATTAAAAGAACTAGATATTCAGAACATGGTTCAAAAAGACAATGAAAAGTATCTATGGTAGAATACTGGAACTTAAGATCTGGGGAAAAATAAAAGGTGAATGCATCTGCGTCATCTCAATTAACTCTGAGCCAACTACTGATCATGGTTAACTCACAGACTCGAAACAGGTAGTCTATATCTACCATCATGACTCAGTTGAACATTTAGTGACTTCATGGATTGATTTCCTGTCTTGGTTTGGCTGCACTTAGGTTTTTTCCAACGTAGTACTTCACCAGCTGGCATTGTTTTTCTAAGCAGGGGTGGTTCAGTATACACAAAATATGTACTAGCCATCTCCGTTGATTAAGATTCATTACCTCGCCAACCAATTTACTATCTCTACTTGGTACTATGCATCTAGACTCTATATTTCTGGCTTCGTTTTCCTGCAGTGCGGCGGCAACGCTTTGAAGACGCTTGCTATCAAAAGCCTGCAACCTATAGGTCTCTTCCATTTCATAGATGATGTTCTACACCCACTTGGTAATAAGGTCTATCTCTGGCCAGTACACTAGCAGTTCAGTTAACAGATGGACATATCGCTTATGTCACAAGAAACATAAGTCGCCAAATACTAACCGAGCTTCCATCAGAAATCAACTCACTCGAGGTGACGTGACTCCCTAGAAGAAGGAAGTGGTCAACTCGTACAGTTATTTCGCTTCCTATGACCAATCTTAGAGTTGACATAAACCAGTCCTAAAACAATATTTCGCACTTAGAGGAAGAAAAATTCAGGCACATACGCTATATCGTAATCTGACTGAAATCTTAAAAATGCCTATTAGTTTCCTCCCTATTCAGTGAATTTTCTATCCACATTGATTTATGTTTGTTAGGAACCCATATTAATTAATTTCTTTCTACTTGTTTTTGTTTATTCTCTCAATTAAAATTAATAGAAAATTGTTACATCCCTACTCAAATTCCATACCTTGTCAGGTAGAAAATAATAAATACGATTTAATATACACGGATATTATAGGATTTAGACATTTGAAAGGAATGAATATCCGGTTAGTTTATAGATTTACATTTAATGAAAAATATTGCATAACTTAAATTAAACTTCATCATTTTGTACATACTTATGAAATAAATTGAAGTATGTTTCACTTATTTTCTATCCTGTTAAATAAATGAAATTGTTTCAATGTCTCTAGATGAAGTTTTATACGTAACTTCTGTGTTACAGTTTATTCTACTGTCGTGTACTACAGTTAAACTATTTTATATATTTTTCTATTGACAATCAGCTCTTCATCTCAATAACAATGATGCTATCTTATATTTGTTATGTGAAAATGTTAATTTCTAACTTAATCAATAAAACCCTCCTAATTAACTTTGTTTCATACAATTTCTACCTTGTATTATTTCTATGTACTTCTTGTTTTAAAATGCACGGAATAATAATAATATCAATAGTCATTGAGAACAAGAAATCATCTTATTAGTAATCGGTATTCATCTTATTTATGAATTAATCATCTTGAGTTTGAAGAAGAAAAATTATTAGCAACTTTCATTACTGAAAATGAAGTATTTTTACTATGTAAGAACAAAGATTCTAGCAGAATATTATAAATTCATTTTAGTTCGTTTGGTTACCTGTCATCTGCTTACTATCTGTGATATTTAAAAATCATAATTACAAAATGGGTTTAAATTACTTATGTGAGAGACTTTAGTTGGAAGTTATCTTGAAGACACATCAGTGTAGTATAGAAAGGGTGTAAATAAATTCAATAGGTTAAATATTGTAAATATGTACTTACTTGCTTACGCCTGTTACTCCTCGTGAAGGAGCATAGGCCTCTCACCAGCATTCTCCATCCAACCCTGTCCTGGGCAATCCTTTCTAGCTCCGTCTAGTTGTAATTCATCGTTTTCATATCTGCTTATATTTCTCGACGTAATGTGTTCTTTGGCCTTCCTCTTTTACGCTTCCCTTCAGGATTCCAAGTTAGGACTTGCCTCGTGATGCAGTTTGACGATTTGCGTAATGTATGTCCTATCCATTTCCATCGTCTTTTCCTAATTTCTTCTTCAACTGGAAGCTGGTTTGTTCTCTCCCACAAAAGGCTGTTGCTGATGATATCCGGCCAATGGATGCTGAGTATCTTGCGAAGACAGCTATTCATAAATACTTGCACCTTCTTGATGATGGTTGTTGTAGTTCTCCAAGTTTCAGCTCCATACAGTAGAACTGCCTTGACGTTGGTATTGAAGATTCTGACTTTGATGATTTGATATTGATTGGAAGTTGTTTTTAGTTCCATATGTTCTTCAATTGAAGGAATGCTGTCCTTGCTTTTCCAATCCTCGCCTTTATGTCTGCATATGGTCCTCCTTGTTCATCGATGATGCTTCCTAGTTATGTGAAGGACTCTACATCTTTCAGAGTTTCGCACTGCTGAGGCGTCCCACAATAGGACGAAACGACCGTCCAGTGCTTCCAAGTTTTCCATGGTGTGTCTAGCTTCAATTGACTCATGATCTCAACAGTTGAAATTACTAAAATCTCCACAAACCCCCTTCTGATATTAAAATGAGAATCATCAAATACATAATTGTATTGCTGAAAATAACTTTAATTACCGTCAGTATAACGACACATTTGAAATAAACAGGTTGAATAAAGAATGGGTCCAATTTCTTGTTAACAAATATTTGCCAAGTAGATGCTAGTTGAATACCATCCTTTCAGTTCAGGCTGTTCTTGTTCGCCCATATATACAGCGTTTCTGCTGTCAATCTTTCTTTATGAGTATTAAAACCTTTCTGGAGTATTTTGGTCCCTTCAAAATTAATCTTGTGTCTTGTTTCCAACGTATCTCGGACTTATTCTCAAATTTCTTTAGGTCAACCGAGGATTTGGGACATTTTCAGACAGTTTGTTTTCCTTCAACCTTAAATTCAATTGTCTAGAAGTTTCTCCCGCATAAGCTGCATTACAATCATGACAGTTGGTCTCATAGGCAATATTTTTTGTTCTTTATTTGGGAACCTATCCTTAACTTTCACTAACGTCGATCTTGTAGTGTCACAAGCCCGAAAATACACTCTTAAATCATGTTTGTTTAGAATCCTCTCGATTTCTCCCGATGTTTCACTACGGTATGGGATGACTACGATGAACTTCCAATCTTTCGGTATACATTCTAGTTTAATTTTTCTAATAATTTCTAATAATCCTTAGAAACTTTGGGGTGGCTGTTATCCTTAAATGTAGACAAAACTCTATTCAATTCAACCTGTTGGTCTTCCTTATCTATGTAATGTAACATCGGAAGAAGTCAAGAGGATTCTAAACAAGCGTGATATAAGAGTGTATTTTCGGGCTTCAGATGTTGTACATGTTTGATGATGATTGGCATGTATAATCACTAGACTTAATTCATTTTTGTAAGTTAGTTGATTTTCTTCGTTGTCTTCCTTTTCTCTTTCTTCTATGATTTACTTATTGTTGTTTTAAGGAGTAGTTTCAAGTGAATTTCGAAAATTAATTTTAGTTCTATCGGTGGCTATTTAGGTATGTGTGTATGTGAGTATATTTAAATCTGTTTTCGCTTTCGTTATGACGTGAAATGAACATGATCATTTAAACTACTTGATTAACTTAACCAACTCTGATTAACTGAATCTGATTTGTTATTAAAACTAACTATTTCCTGTGGTCTATATTTCCGGTACTTAAGTGATATGTTTTGACCAGGGTTCTCCTGCACTGGTGATGCTTTTGCATTTCAAGTGGTCTTATCTACAGTTTATTCGGTAATGACTAGCAATACATTTCACTGAAGGACAGAGTGATTGTTTAATGATTTTCTGGTGGATGTAAATTGAAGATAAAAGCCATTTTCAACTGTCAGTTTGCTTGTTATTTTACAGTTTATAAAACCACTGACTCTATTAGGTTTATCAAACTTTTATATACAATAAATGCGTAATATGAATCCATTTTGTATCATGTTTTCTCCAAATTAAGGACTCCATTATGTAAATTTCGTATATTGGATACATTTGGAACAGAAGCTCTTTATAATCGTAAAAAAGAACTTTGGAGTGGATTACATTTGAATTTACAGCAATTCTATACATTTTTCCGTAAGTTATCCATTGTTTCACATTTTAGTGGAATTTTGTTCTTTGAGTTGGATGGTTTAGTCACGACCAAAGACATTCAGACAACAAAGATGGGTTAGATAAAATCAAAATAATGCGTTTGAAGAACTGAAGATTTTGAAGTCCCTTCTTCAGAATATACCAATCAATTTGAACAGTACTCTTATTTATAACCATATTCATTAGTTTTCCTTCGGTTCTTTTATTATAATTTTGTCTTAATTCAAACTCGATTCCATTCACTACATATTTCTTCTATAATATGTTATTTCAGCCTACACATTCTCAACAATAATTGAGTGTTATTACTTTTTGGGAATTCATTTAATTTACTTTGATTTGTACATTTTTGTAGTTGTTATTCTTTCCTTGTTTTGATACTTCTAGCTCATTCACCGGATAATACATTTCTGGGTTTTGTTGCTGAAATACTCCCACCCAAATCTAAATTCTCTCATCAATCATCATCTAAACCTGTTGCTCTTGTCTACGGAAAAGAGGCTTACATGTGGTCTGTAAGTTTCCTTACATACTATAATTAACCAATAAATTATGTGTGGGGTAGTCAAGTTGTTGAGTTTTTAGATGTGAATTTCTTCCATCGTAATTCATAGTTAAATTAAAATCATCCATTATACATGAACAAATTACCTGTAATTTGTTTTAGGGATTTAGCCAGATATATGAAAAAGTCAAAAAGATTTTAAGCTAAAGCGGGATGATTTTGGTGAAAATATGTTTTTGAACTAGACAGTTTTATCATAAAGCTTTCATTATCTACCTTGACTATACATCATTAACAAAATATCCTTATAGAAATGAGCTATTCGCTAACATTCAGTTTGATTGGTTGTTGTCATCAATTGTCCTGTAATTGTCTGCATGTGTATATATATGTCGATTATGCTACATTTTGACCTAGTTTTCAACCTTATATCTGGTCGATCAAATTAATTTTGGTGGCTTGTAAGCTTAACCTGTTTCAAACAGTCTCAATTAACTAATTGAGAATTCAACATGTCCTTCGTATATGGATTATTCATTTGTTGGTATCCATATTTTATTTCGTGCTTTTTGATGAGTTTGATATATGGATAGTCGTTCTTTAGAAAAACCATCACTACGTGTTCTTCTCCAATTCTATATGTGGTAGATGGATGTTGCGGTGTTTTCGTTCTTTTAAAATAACATTTGTAAGAAGTTGATCTTTGATAAGGGAAATAAAAAGACCAGATAATTTTTAGAAGTTTGGTTTTCAGATCAGTCAGCACTTAATCAAACACAACGAAATCGACTTCATGTATCAACCAATTAAAAAAATCATAAATCACTATAAGGCCAAAAACTAGGTCAACATATGCCAAAATATCCCACCCCCGTCTCCAAATTTGCTATGTCCGAAGCGATTACGAGTTCGCCTAATCTGAGGACGGAACGAAGACTCTGTATCACTACGACAGATAAGCTAGCTATTTCGACGTGTCCCAGCTCCGCTAACTAGAAAGAGAAGTCCAAGTTCGGGAGAGGTAAATATATTTCACAAGCAGTCAGAAGCACGAACAACCACGACGAGTCTAGTCGGAATCACACTCATTTATATATTGATTCATACACTCATTTTTGATTAATAGTTAGAACAAAATCACATATATAAAAAATAGTTAGTTATAACAAATCATATGCTGAATATAGTTCATGTTAACTTAATACAAGAATATCATATGTTATACAGAGTAAAATGTCATACTGGAAATCAGTAACAAATACTATACTGAGTAATCATCACATTGAATTAAAGCGGAATTAATGTTGAATAAAAACTAGGTTAATGTACGCAGACAACTATAGGACAATTGATGACAACAACTAATCAAACTGAATGTTGATTATGTGTGGTCAAATGCTAATAGCTCACTTCTCTCGGAATATTTTGCTAATGATGTGTTGTCTACAGAGATAACGAAGGCTTTACTGTTAAATTATCTGTCACACTCTATTGAAATTCGTAAGCTAAGTCGTCTAATAAACCTAGAGATTAGACGTCTCAACTCTATATTTACTCGAAAACTCCTATCTTGTAAAAACTCTCCAAGTATGTGGGAGCTCTTTAAAAAACTTACAGGTGACAGACACATTAGAAGCGATAACCAGCTGAATGTTTGTGACTTAAATAAGTCTTTTATACGTCAGTCATCTGATGTCATGCTCCTTACATCCACACGTTTGAAGAATAGTTGTGTCTCTAATTTCACTGAAACTGATGTCCGAAAATATCTCCAGTTACTTAATTCATCCCAATGTTTAGGACCTGATGGTATCCCAAACCTCCTTTTTAAAACATTTGCTGATGTCCTATGCTATCCATTCACGAGTATCCTTCTCAATTAATCTCACACCGAAAGTGTGGAGAAAGATAAAGATAATCCCTATGCCTAAGAAAGTATCTGGTGATAAGAGTATGAAATTTAGACCCATAGCAATGACTTGACCTTTCCTCAAAACGATGGAAAAATTATTGATACCCTCACTTGAACCTGCAATAAAAGAGCTCATTGATCCGTATCAGTTTACTTACAAATGCAAAAGAGACACCTTGAATGCCGTTTTCGTTTTTGCATCACAATATAGCGTTCAGCTTGGAAAAAGGTAAATAGTATGTTCGATGCACTTTTCTGGACTATACTTCTGCCTTTGATTCTATGTCAAAACAACTTTTACTTAACAAGTTAATCAGCATCAACACTGACAGCTGGATAACCGATTGGCTACGTTCTTACCTCTCTGGTAGAGAACAGTACACTGTGTTTGAAGGAGAGTGTTCAACATCTCTCCTGTCTCATGAAGGTGTGCCACAAAGACCCGTTCTCCCACCGCTTCTTTTCTCTTTCCTTCTGCATGATCAAAATTGTCGAAAGATCAAGTTATGCAGTAGTCTTAAAGATTATAAGAAATAGTTATTTATATAAAAATTCTAAAAGGTAGCTGTCTACTTTATGAAGAAAATAACAAACAAGATTGTAATTGGCACTTACGATTTGTAAAAATTAGACGGTGTGATAAGACCATGAATAAATAACAAAATTGAACATGACTCTTTTGTATATAGTGATCAGATTTGAACTAACAGATTAATATAGTTTCAGTTGTACACAAATTCCCAATCCAAACTTTATTCCAGCCAATTCTTTTCGTGGATAATCTTGAATGATGATTCTCGCGGGACATAACCAGAATCGACTATCCATTCAAGGATTGAATTATTGATTGATTTTCCATTCCTTTTTAGATACAGTCATGTAGGATTGTGCCAGGATATTCGTTTAGTAGGTTTGCGATTTATGCGGCCAAAATAACCTGCTTCGCAAGATCAAGTAAATTGATAAATGTACATCAAGGTGGCCCAACCCGGCAGTTTACTCTTAACATTCCCCTGAATCAGGTTCTTACAAGTAAAAAACAATTCGTAATCCACCAGAATAAAAGATCTATCTCAAAGATAATTTAAAACGGAGCGTTGTAAGCTTTAAAACTAACTGATCGGTTTACATAGATCATTAACAACTATCATAGATGTCGTCTTTAACCATTAACGACATATTTCTTATAAGTGTTTTTCTATATTCATTATTTTTTCTACCGAGACCAACTTGATTCATTTTACATTTTCAATCCTTGTTCACCTCCGTTTTATATTTTTACTGTATGATTCTTGTGTATTTTTTTCCATATCTTTGGTATTACATCTAACTCCAGTAATGTTAAGAGTTGATTTCAGCTAGGTGTAAGTTTTAAAAAACTTCAATAACCCAAACTCTGGGCTAAAATTAAATGCATATATCTATCCATTTCGATAAAATCCAGTAACACTAGATTGTGAAGTAACTATTGTTGTTATATCATCATTTGGTCAAAATAATCTTACTGATTTAGTTACTTATTCAACATTCACACTCGAATACTTAACATAATTAGCATTGTACTATCAATAGATCAGTTGCATTTTGCGCGTTGTTTTGTAATAAAATAACCCACCAAAATCTGTGTTCATTGTTTTTCATTTCAAATAAAATATGAATGTTCAACTGTGTTTTACTTGACTCTATTACATTTGTTATATTCATTAATTGTTATTCATTGTTTCTCTCATTAATTTACTCATTTTTGTGTACATCATCAACTTATTTTTTCTCTTAAGAATAAAACAAATTATTTGAGAATTTTATCTGATTACTTTGAATTACATGGGAATGTGATGGATAACGTTGATAAGTTGCCAAAATTTGTGCATATACATCAAATGCAATATGGTCAACCATATTTAGAGTTAATGTCGAAAGCTCAAGTAAGTTTATATGTAATCGCATTCATGTTGAATTGTCCTGTTAAAAAGGTTAAGTTTTTTTCAGTGTATTATAACTGGACTTATTAAGAAACTATTTGATAATCTGACTCACAGAAATGTGCAACATTAAATAGTTTTCAGAACTATGATGATAGAGTTTAACGTACTAATGACCACAAAGCTGACGAACTGGCATTTCATCGTAAATAGTCACTAGCATTGTTTGTTTCCCAAGATATCAGTGAAATATTAGCAGCGAACTCTGTGTTTGACGCATACTGATTCTATCTCATAGGAATCCGATTGATGAACAGAGTGAAGATGATGTTGGTGACAATACTATGCCACTAGAGAATTAAGTCAAGCGACAATTGATCTTAGTTATGCTCACAGGGTTCTGCCCCTCTCTAAATTCTCCAATTACCTATTCAGTGTCACCTATAATTTCTCTGAATGTGAATACTATCTATTAACTTTACCAAAATAATGATAATGGATCCAATGAATTAGTGAACCGTCTCACACACACATAGATATAGATATTGGTACAAGGAGGCACCCAATACATATGCACCACACAAGTCTCATTCGATATGTGTGAGGGCTGTGATACTGTCCGGGTTCCCAGACCGAAGCAGGTGGTTTTCTTAGAGGGCCACTCCCCGAGCCTTCGACCTGAAGGTCTTATCCACAAGGCAGTGGAGCATCGTAAGGAGATGCAGTCCCATGGAAGCCGGTGACCAATAATTGGTTCATACGCCATTTGCTCCCTCAGGATACTGGAGCCCATGTGCACCATTGGTTTAGAATCCGGTTGAAGCGGCGGACATTCGCTTTTCGTTCTCTCATTTTCGTAAACAACAGTAATGCCACGAGAAGGCAGTGAGTAGGACTTCCCTGAGAGAGGCTATATACGCATGGCCATGTGAGAGCATTTCGAGAGGGAGAACGGACTCTCCCCACTCTCGGCCGTACCAGGGTATTTGGGGGCGTCTCACACACGCAACACAAGGTTGTGAATAAAAGGGGAAAGAAGCCGATAAAATTTAGCTGATGAAATTCAGAAACCAACATCATACGATAGATCAGTGTTAGACATATTAATCGGTCATTTGGATGAAACTGCACGGTTAGACAGTTTGATTTCGAAATCTGTTGGTTTACAATCAAGTTTATGAAGACATCAGAAAAGAACATAGTATATATGTTCGATCAAGACTTTAACTAATTTGGTATCCTTTAGCGGCCCTAGATCTGACTAATTGGGTCGTTTAGTGCTTGTTATTGAAATATACGTGCCGCTAATCCTTGTGTATAATCATTGACCTAAATCGCGTCGGTGGATAACGGAATTAAATAAGTCAAATACGAGAAAGGATTTTCGAACCCGTATATTTCTTACAATTGCTGTTCGGAAAGCAAAGCAAAACGAAATTATGCGCAATGGAGATGGCGAATAAACCGACACCATTTAACCATGCGTGAATCGATATTTATAGTCACACAAAAATAAGTCACATACGCTTACATAAAAACAGTAAAGGTTGATGAGCGAATAAGTGACAAGGTCAAAATGTGGTTTAAGAGCAATGAATATATTGATCAGTCCTGTCCAAAGGCTGGAACAACCTAGATGTGCTCGACATAGGGCAAGGCCCTACAATCTAATTTCATTGGTGAATCAAGGATTTTATACATTTGCATAAACCACAACTATTCATTCGATGTCTCTCGACCTGTTTCCTTTAGTCGTCCATTTCTGTGCTGCAGAAAACTTTAGACAATAAACATGCAGTCCCACGTACTACTAAGACTCAGAAGTAGAGGCGCTATACTTTGACCTCATACTCTCTTCTCGACCAACTTAAGTAAAGTTTACTCTGTTCTTTATTCCCATAACACCGGCCCTCAAATTGAACGATCGGGAAATACGTGTTAACTACTTGAGTTTGAGACAGAAGTTTCACAAATCTAACATTGCGATATGTTATGTCTCAGTGCAGTCGCAATCCGTGATCGTCTTAAAGTTAAACTATCCGTAAATGTCAGACTATATTCATCTATAAACCAACTGTGGATTCTAAAATCACAGAGATAAAGAGAATGGTCATTATCGTTGACTACTGGAACCTATATAATCAATGAAGATATAGGACCTGAAATTTCCCTTACAATCATCTTGATAACTGATTCATTCTTATGTAAGTAATTTATGAGTGTGCCTCCCAGCATGTTGTTGTGGTCATTAATTTAAATTTTGCCAGTCAAATCTTGATTGAGTTTTGATGAAGGCGTTGTCTATTTTATCACAGCTTAAAATTTATGATGGATGAAAATAGCAGATATTGATGTGATTAAGTGTATGGTATTCTTCGCTAAGTTTGTGTCAAATTGTACTCCTCGATAAGACGTTAGTTATTCATAGTTGGTAGTTTGTACGTATAATATGTCATATTTTCAGTTGCATCTTCCTAGTTTATTTCTTTTAGTTATTTTTGGCTATAAGGGTGAACTAAAATTATGTGAAACATGATTATCTGACAGTTTAACGTGACCGATTTCATGTGGAACGAACTATATTTTTATGATATCATAATGATGCATTTTCGTGTGATATCTTTAATTAGTGATCTATTTGATTGAAATTAATTCAAGTGTAGAGTTAAGTTGTAACTTTGAAATTGTTGAGAGATGAGTTTTAATTGGTTAATTGTAATGAGAGTGTATTTATTTTTGTTTGTGTAAAAACATAAACCACTGTAATGTTAACTAGTGGAATGTTTTCTAAAATGTATTCTAGATATTAATTGGATTGGGATTTCCTTACGAAGGTCCTGCGCCTTTAGAAGCAATCGCTAATGGTCTTATTTTTCTTAATCCTCATTTTGATCCGCCTCACGGTAGAAGCAATCAAGCATTTTTTGCTTATAAACCTACTTCACGTTCTGTAAGTACTTATTTTAAATAGTTTTATTTGATAACGTATTATTTAATATACCGATAGGAAGGGACTAAAAAAGAAACCAATAACTTAGTTGACTAGTCATTGAGTGAGGTTGAAATTTTAAGCTTCAAATTTTAATTCATTCTGCTGTGTCTTCGGTACATATCTTACTGAACAATTTGCTGTTACTGAGTGCTTCAGAACCAACCATTTAATAACTTTTTCATTTTAATTTTATGTATTTAAAAGTGTTTATAAAGAGTAGTAGTTTATCAAAGTATCTTTTCTTCGCTGTCTTAGACAAGGTTCTGTCTTCTGACATTCCTTGTCTTAGTGAGATATAAGTGCATGCGATTAACATTCACGTTTTTTGCTAATTCGTATATTACCAGCATAAATCCACTTTGATTCTTGTTTTTATAATCCACTCAGTCATACTATATATCTTTGAAATATCTCATATTATCAATTCTTCAAACTACTGTCTATTTACTTATGTACAATTATATGTTAGTTTGTTTAAACTTCCTTTATTATTCATATCATGAATATAATGAAATTTGTCATTTTGCTTACCATTAGTGAACAACATCCATTAAATGTAAGCAAGTTTACCAATGACGTTGTGATATTCTCTGAGGTTTATTATGTAATCAATCGCAAAGCTTTTATTTTCATTCTGGACATCATAAGGGATCATTTCTATCTTGGATGCAAGTCTTCTCGTTTACCATTTATTTAGAATGTAATATATCTTCACTAATCAGAATAATAACATGGTTTAATATTACGGCATAACAAAAATATTTTCGCTTGCCACGATTTATTACTATTATACGATAATACGACCAGTGACTGGGATTACACTTCTCCCAGACTAGATAGTCGATTGACACACTATACACATTTTGGATCACATCATACCATTTATAAGATTCACGACCATAAATAGAGAGCCAAAGTATAAGCTAGACATTACTTCATTCAACACTCAGTTATTTATTTATTTTTATTTTAACACCAAATACATATGCGCCACACAAATCTCATTCGATATGTTGAGTATCTGTCCCCAAATGCCCTGGTACGGTTGAGAGTGGAAAGAGTCAACTTTCCCTCTCGAAATGCTCTGACATAGCCACGTGCATGCAACCACTGCCAGGGAAGTCCTACTCACTGCCTTCTTGTGCCACGGGTGTTGTCTACGAAATTGAGAGGACGAAAAGTGAATGTCTGGAGCTTTAACCGGGTTGGTGGATATGGAGGATCCACCTAGTGGAGTTGGAAAACCCTGATTCTAAACCAATAGTACACATGGGCTCCAGGATCCTAAGAGAACAAATGGCGTATGTACCAATCGTTGGTCACCGGCCACCATGGACTGTATCTCCTGACGTCGCTCCACTGCCTTATGGATTAGACCTTTAGGTCAAAGGCTCGGGGTGTGGCCCTCTAAGAAAACTGCCTGTTTCGGTTTGAGCACCCGGGCAGTACTCCTGCCCTCACACAAATCAAATAATTTATGTGGTGCATATGTATTTGGTGCCTTCTTGTACCTATGTTCATGTGTTTAAATAAATATATAAATAAACTGCCGCCGCTCAGTAACCAACCAGATCTTGTTTTTACTAGCCACACCTCAGGGTGCCCGATCGAAGCTGCTACCTTGACGCGGTGGTCGGGCTTGCCTATCGTGATGACCCAACCGAGCTATATTGGCTGGAACATATGTTCCTGTAGGTTCTACCATGCCAGGCAGGTCGATTGGTGAACGGTAAGACTAAAAGCAGCAACTCAAGGTCTGAGGGCGAAGTCGTACTGCTGACTGTAGAGAGGTGTGACAGCAGTAAGGTGTTTCCTTCGGACAACCAGCATGACAGCGATGCTGCCTTCCCACAAGGAGGGGTGGGGTTAGAAAAGGTCGACCCTAAAAATGTCACACCTCACCTTACCTCACGGATTTCCGTCTCCGGCGGTAAGGCCCTTTGAAGAACGGAGCTAACACGTCAAAAACCTTCCACAAAAAGGCCGTGCGCGACCGGCCTCAAGCAGTTGTCCCTTGGGCTCTGCGGTCACGCTCCCAGGTCGTCAAGACCAACACTAATCCAATTTCCTTTTCAGGTTCCTCAAGAAATACCCTTCCACGGTGTGGGCAGCCGGGAAGTGACATCAGCCCTCATACCCGTAACAGCACAAGAGACCAAGGTGGTCACATTCAAATCCTTCCTACACCTCCTAATACCTCTCTTATCTCCATGACTAACCCTCCTCACGTCTCTTTATCACCTCGCACCGCTAGGGCAAACGATTCGAGTACGTGGAACGCCATTCCTGGTCTCCTGAAACCACGCTCTAAACTACACGTAGGAGCTTTTAACGTACGAACACTTTGCCAAATAGGACAGCAGGCTTCCTTAGCTAAAACTTTAGAATCTCGCGCCATCGATGTGTGCTGCGTCTCCGAAACGCGCATACAGGATCCAAGTAGCGTCATTCATTTGACCTCACCATGCCAAAATAAAGAACCGACTCGATTTACGCTTCGTGTATCTGGAAGCCCTGATTCTGCTTCCCGTGGCCTCGCCGGCGTAGGTATAGCATTGAGTCCTAGGGCAGAACTAGCTCTCTTAGAGTGGATCCCAGTAGACAGTCGTTTGTGCGCTGTCCGACTGAACGGAACAGTAAGAATCCGGAAAGATAGGGACACTCGTCGTTGCCTCTTCGTCGTCTCTGCCTATTCTCCCACTGACTGCAGCTCAGATGATGTAAAAGATGAGTTTTACAGAAAGCTTTCGGACCTTCTCCGAAAAGCTAGCGCTCGGATGTAGTAATAGTGGCCGGTGACTTTAATGCTCAAGTAGGTAAACTAAGCGATAGGGAAAGACACCTAGGTGGATCTTATGGTGTCGTGGCTCAAAGAACAGATAATGGCGACCGTCTGTTGCAGCTATGCTCAGATAACCGCCTGTTCCTTGCAAATACTAACTTTAAGCATAAGGAAAAACATCTTTTAACATGGCGACCCCCTAATTCGTCCCAACGTTGGACCCAAATAGATCACATCGCTATCAGCCACCGATGGAGGGGCTCGATAGAAGACTGTCGCTCATTCTGGAGCACATGCCTAGATTCAGATCATGCTCTAGTGCGAGCGCGTATTTGCTTGCGTCTTACTGGACGTAGGAAAGACGCTGCAAGGAAACCTCTTAGGGCCTACTTAATGATAGTCAAGCTAAGAGTATATTTCAGGAACAACTAGGAAAACAGTTAGGCAGCCATGTATGTGATGCCCACCCCGATGCAGCATGGAATGATATCCGAAAAGCTGTGGAAACAGCAGTGATATCTGCTAGTAAGGTAAACCAGAAGGTTAGGGAGCAACACTGGATCTCAGCAGCATCTATCGCACTGATAGATGCTCGGAAACTCATTCCACCTGGCTCTGAACATAATGAAGAGCGGAGTCAGCTTAAGCGCAAGCTGACAAGAAGTCTACGCAATGATCGCGAACAGTGGTGGGTAGCGAAAGCAAGAGAGATGGAAAAGGCAGCGGCAATAGGTAATAGCAGACAATTGTTCAGACTCGTTAAGGAAACCGGAATTAGGAACCCGACCGTTAGCGAAACAATCTCAGAGAAAGATGGACATATTATTCATTCTCAATCCAGGAGATTGGATCGATGGGCAGAACACTTTAGGGATCAGTTCAACTGGCCTTCAGCCACACTTCGGTTTCCCACGATCTCCAGTCAACCTGAATGGCAAGTTAATGTAGGTCCTCCGTCCCTTTACGAAGTTGAAAAAGCCATAGGAAATCTGAAACGAGGGAGAGCAGCAGGCCCTGACAGGTTTACTCCTGAGATTTTTAAGGATGGTGGTCCAGTATTAGCAATGAGATTAACTGAGGTCTTAGGTAGAATTTGGGAACTGGACGTAATCCCATCTGACTGGTCTCAATCACTGATTGTGCCAGTCTATAAGAAAGGACAAAAGTCCTCTTGTGACAATCACAGAGGAATCAGTTTGACTAATATAGTGTCTAAAATATTAGCTTCAATAATACTTCGACGCCTAACAAAGCTCGTGAAGAGCAGACTAGAGAAAACCAGGCTGGTTTTCGACCTGGACGTGGTTGTATAGATCAGATATTCACACTACGTCAGGTTCTAGAACACAGACACACATTCAGACGCCCCACAATGGTAGTATTTCTCGACCTTAAGGCGGCATTCGACTCTGTTGATCGTGAGGTTCTATGGCAGTGTTTGTCACTGAAAGGAGTACCAAAGAAGTACATTAACCTTATAAAGGCTCTCTACTCGAACACAACTGGTAGAGTGAGAGCTTATGGCGAACTGTCATCAGAATTGATTACCTCAAGTGGTGTTCGTCAGGGCTGTCCACTCTCCCCATTCTTGTTCAACTTTGTCTTGACGTACTTTTAGAGATAACACTCTCCTCATCTAAATTTCCAGGGGTTGAACTTCTACCGGGAGGTTCACTTGTTGACTTAGAATATGCTGATGACATAGTTTTATTTGGTGAAGACGCTGACAAAATGCAGAGTCTTCTGACCACTCTAAGCAACAATGCAAGCATGTTCGGGATGCGATTCTCTCCCTCGAAATGCAAAATGTTGCTTCAGGATTGGGTTACATCGACACCCGAACTAGTGATAGGGAGTGAAGTAGTTGAGTGTGTCGACCGCTTCACTTATCTTGGAAGTCTCATCAGCCCTTGTGGTTTAGTGTGTGACGAAATCTCAGCACGGATACAGAAGGCTCGACTAGCTTTTGCCAACTTGCGTCATTTATGGCGTAGGCGAGATATCCGTCTATCAACCAAAGGACGTGTTTACTGCGCAGCAGTTCGTTCCGTCCTACTTTATGGCAGTGAAACATGGCCGGTAAGAGTAGAGGATATTCGTAGGTTACTAGTATTTGATCATAGGTGTCTTCGAAACATTGCTCGTATATCATGGGACCATCGAGTAAGTAACACAGTTGTTAGGAAACGGGTACTAGGTAAGGATGGCAAATCAATTGATGAAGTAGTGAAACTTCATCAGTTGAGATGGCTGGGACACGTGTTACGTATGCCCAACGACCGACTGCCTCGACGTGCTATGTTCAGTGGTATAGGAGTAGGTTGGAAGAAAGCTAGGGGCGGCCAAACCAAAACATGGCACAAGTCCATGAAGTCACTGACAAGTGAACTGAGTCATGTTGGTAGGTGTAGACTACCTGGTTGGGGACCGCGAGATGATAGCAACCGATGGTTAGAGACCCTGAATGACATGGCTCAAAATCGTTTGCAATGGCGCAGGTGCATCCACTCTCTGTGTTCTCCCAAATTCTAATCTTCTGAATCCTTCATGTCCCTTTTTTCCTCTTTCCAAATTTATTTCACTGGATTATACTCTTTAAATAACATCTCCAAACCCTAATCTTCCCGATTACTGCTTATACTCTTATTACCTCTACCACTACGGGATTTGAATCGACAACTGCATCTCTGTGCTAATGTGGTGTGGCAACTCGAACTGATGTACGTACGTACGAAGTTCTACGTTGTTACTGACTGACACCTCAGGGTTTGACTTTAGTTCATATGTAAGAATAATAATTATGATTTGATTCATTAAGTAAGTACACGTCTATGTACTTAAATTTGAGCCATATTGTTTGTGTCAAAGTTAGTGATATTATTCGCAGAGGTTCGAGTCTATCCAGAAGGTGTTTTGTTTACTAGGGGAACATACAGCGTAGCGTGGATGAGGAGGGCTGGAAAGGCGAAGAACAAATGGAAAAGTAAGTTGACGATGCAGAAAGTGCACACCATGCATTTATATTTTCTACGAAAAACAATAGATAACAATCTGCGATAACACGAGCTTCGGCTTGTGATAATCGTGGAATCAAAACTAGAAGCTGATGGTTTAACCCGCCCCAAATCTCGAAGAGCATTTAAAACAGGATTGAATTTATGAGCTGGTCGTTAAAAATTGAATAATTTAACCAACGATTCACGACTCCAGTTCATATTACTGACCATTACTAAACAGTGTCACTGATAAAATCAATTTATATATAGGAACAAAATATTGCGCAATTTGTCTTGTTTGATGCAGAAAAAGTAATGCGTACCATTAACTTCGAATAAGCAAAGTTTGCGTTAATTTTAATTACTCCAATCTAGACTATGACATCTATGTCGTTTTATTATGAAGATTTAAGCATATCAACAGCCTATTGAATCATTCCGAAATTATGAACATTTTCATGTTTATCCTATTGAAATAAAATCGTTTTTTTCTGAAATTTAATGATATAAGTAGTTAAATTATAGCTGCGACTATAGACGAATGTTTGATTGATCTTCATTCAAATCATGAACCAAAGTCAAACAAACAATTAATACTTGGATGGCCGTTTCGTTTCAGTATGGGACTCCTCAGCAGTGCGCGTCTACAACTTCCTACCAAAGGGAATGGAACCCAGAACCTTTGGTTTCGCTGGCGAACGTTTAACCTATAAACTACTGAACCACGACATTGCGCGACCATCTTCTATTGTTTCTGGTGGATTACTACCTCACATCCAACACGAATTAGCTCTAATGATCACGTCTTCTCATTAAAACTCCGGAAATATCCTCTCGAAGCTAGTTTCTATCATTAAACTTTGACCTTAATAAAATATCAATGTTTATGTTGATCATGAAATTATGGATTATTTTATCATCGACCCCAATTTATTGCCATAAAAAATAGGGTAAAATTAACAATGGTACTCATGTGTAGAATAATCAGTGAATAAGCACATATCTGGGTAAAGTAACACCCCTGACTTAATGTTTTCTACCTTTGTTTATCTCATCAATTTCATGTTCATTTTTACAATTATTTAAACTGAAAATGAAATCCAATGATGTGTGTAAGTATTTTATCATTGTGAAATATACACTTATTCTGTTATTAATTTAGAAAAATGTAATAAATATTAGAAATTTTAACTTAAACAAATTTGTTCTGTTTGAAAAATGCGATAAAATGTTCAGCAAATGTGCATATTATCCTATTTTCAACATGCTACTTTAATACCTACAATTATGTGCAACCATGTAGAAGTGTACATTGTTCAAAGTCACCTAAGGTAATTGCAGTTATTTACGATGCAACAAACCAAATTCAAATCCCTTTGTGGTGTATGCTACTTATGCTGAAAGGTATAAGTAGTATGTAACGGCACTTGCGAATGGAATACCTGTCGATATAAAATTGAATTGAAGAGAACGGGACGGGAAATAGAGAGCAATTGGAATAACAACAGAATTAAAAGAATCATGAAGTATGTAAAAGACGAATGCAAGAAGATGCGCAAATAATGTATTTAATGTATGATTTTCATGTTTAAGTCACTGTGATTTTGCAATAAACAATAGATCGGTTTTCCATACCTGAGTTCTCATTCACTATACCCTTAATGCTTTTTTATCCGTATTTGTGTATTATGCAGTAAGGAAATGACTATAATGAAGCCGGTATTAAATTGTTTATATGGTTGCAAATGGTAGAGGTTATATGTTCAATATCAAGCATTTTCGAGCTTTTTCCCATTTACTTAGTATGTGAGCGTATACACCGATGCCATTGTGATCGATTCTGAGCCATGTCACTAAGAGTCTCCAACCATTGGTCACGATAGTCACGCACACCCCAACAAAGTAGCCTGAATCTACCAACATGGCTCAGACTAGAAGTTAGTGAATTCAAGGACTGATGCCAGGTTTTGGTTTGGCCGTCCCTAACTTTCTTCCAACCATCTCCAACACCAGTTAGCGTTGGGCGTCGTGGTAATCGGTGTTCAGGCATACGTAACACGTGGCCCAACCATCTCAGTCGATGAAGATTCACAACCTCACCAACTGATTTACCATCATTCCCTAATACCCTACGTCTAACCACTATTACTTACCCGGTTATCCCAGCAAATGCGAGCAATATTTCTAAGAAGTTTGTGGTCAGCTTCTCAGATAGACGTTAGTATAGTGAGGAAAATGTTGAACATCACTCTTTCAAGTATCATAAGCTAAATTCGTTCTACAAACATATTCCTGACCACCACAGTACACTAAATAACTCGCATACTTCTCCATTAGAGTTAATTATTTACTTGAATATTAACCAAGAAAAATCCTCCAACCACGTTTGTTTAAGGCGGTTGGATTAATCATTTGAGGTGATGAATTTTATTCTTTGAGACTATTATCCGTTACCAATTTGAAATTCTTCCCTATTTAATGTAGACCCGGACATAATGCAATCTCTTGATCACATTGAGTAACAAGGAAGCATGTTTGGGATATAATTTCCTTTCTCTAAACTTATGTTGCTTCAGCACTAGATTGTTCGTACAGAGCGAAGTAATTAAATTTAATCACAACTTCGCTTATATTCAGAGTCTCATCATCTCTGGTGTATTGGCATGCTTAGACACCTAGATACAGATTCCAGAAGCTCTCCTGTATTTTCTGACCTTGCATCACTTGTAGAGTTGGTAAGATGTCTCTGTGCCCAACGAAAGGTCTAGTACAATCCTTAGCAGTCGGCTCTGTGTTACTCGTTAAAACTGAAACATCGTCTGTAAAAGCAAAAGACATGCATAAGCTTCAGGTGTGTTTATCATAGATATCTTGGAAGCACTTCCCGAGTATCATGACATGTTTGGAAGAGCGATGTTGTGTTTAACCATTAGGACACTAGCCAAATATAGTAAACTGATTAATGAGGTAGTGAATCTTTACCGACTGAGAGTGGTTGGCACATGTCACGTGCACCTAACCACTACCTACCTTGAGGGGAGATGTTAGCGGTGTTTGAGTAAATTAGGGTGGCTAAACTAAAACATAAGGTCAGTCCGTAAGATCACTTGTTATTGGATTGAGCCCTGTTGTTAGATGTGGTAAACCTGATTGGGGTCTGCAAAATTATCGCTATAGTGATTGGTTGACGTGACTCAAAATCAGTCACAGTGGGGAAAATGCATTAATTCTTTGTCTTATTTTAGATCTTGAGTTTCAAAATTATCTCACAAATTCAATCTTACTAAATCATATCGTTTATTCCTAATCTTTTCTATTACCATCAATTTAGTCACTACATCTATTACTGTGCCCTTAATCATGATATTCGGCTACAACGGTAAATATGCTTTCGCTTTCTGTCGTCCTCTGAATCTCTTTAGTTCTAATATTTCTTCACTCATACCTATTCATTTCGTCTTTTTTGCACCATATCGTCAATGTTTGGTTTTATTGATTATCGTTACTATTTTATTTCGGCTTTGCCATTCATATTGTTAATTACATCTTGTTGTGTTAACATAAAATATCAACTAGAGCTAATTCACAGGCTTCACGTCGATTTGGATTAGCTGACTTTTTCCTTCTTCAAAAGTTTAAGATCATTTTATAGATAATTGATGATTTTTGCTATGAATGACAAATTCGCTTTGCTTTTGTGTTTATTCAATTGATTAGTGTGCTATAATGTTTTCACACTTCTTTCGATTATTTCAATCTTAGTAGCTTGAAACGAGATATATACATACGAAGGAGTTTATTTTTGTAATCTTATTTCTATTCTTTAGAAATACAGGTTTTGTAATATACTTCTATATCCCCAAATAACTTATAAGTAACAATGCATGAACTATCCTCACGTTACGACCACTTTTTTTCTATTTCTGCAGCTTACCAGCCAACATCCGTACATAGAAAATCATATCGGTGAGCCTTACTCATATTTGGTTGATATGGACAATGAAACGCAGATACGCTTAACTATCAAACGTATTCTGACCAACATTTCTGTAAGATTTCATTGTAATTTCATTTTTAAGTATTTCTGTTTTTCACTGTTACTATTATTATTATCATAACCTTAAGCCAACCATACACTATATATATAATATTAATTTCAATTGTTAAGATCATGAGTCACTTGAAGCTAGACCACCATGGAAAACCTGAAGCACTGGACAGCCGTTTCGTCCTATTGTGGGACTCCTCAGCAGTGCGCACCCACGACCATTGAAATTACTACAATCTCCACAAAACCCATCTAATATAATATTAGTCCATTAATAGTTCTCAGAGGTTACCCTTAATTTAATGTTCACTACGATATAACAAAACTCACTGAAGGACAAGATCACATTGTAATAATAAGTACAGTAAAGATTCACTCAAAATAAAATTAACTAAAATTATATTGAATCAGTCAGTTTTCAATAGTGGTCTAGCTTATATCGAATCATGAATTCAACTATTAAATGAAAATACACTTACAGTCAACAAACAAAATTGAATATTTTCTTCTTCGTTAAAATTTGTTTTACGATTCAGTTTCTCTAACAGTAATGAAACACAATAGTACAGTTTTTTCTAGTTGTCATCATTACTATCAATGTTTAAAAATTTTCGATTCCTGTTAGATTAGATAACATTAGAGGAATATTAACTATGAAGTAACACTCAATCTAACAATAAATAGATTTACATTATGCTGAAAAGAGAACTCTTCTCTGAACTAGTCTTTCTTATTTGATATTTTTGCATTGTACTAACAAAATCCACAATGTTTTCATTTGAGTTTACCACCATTGAGTGCCAAGATAAATTGTAGGCTTTTTATATTAACCTATGATTATGTGCTATTACTGATGATTATTATATACTTGATAGAAACTTAAAAGAGAATTTTTAATTGTAATTATCGCGCAGTTGGAAAACAACTTGTCCAAATGTTAAGCAGGCTACCAAAGCTAATGTCTGTCACATTAGAACTTTGTGATATATATATATATATATATATATATATATATATATATATATATATGATTAGTATCATCGTCAAGGTACAATACACCACAGTTAACATTTTCCATCATTTCGAATCAAATCTAGACATTTTCGCTAAATTGACCATGAGGATAAGAAGCTTGCATAAGTCAAGGAGAACAATGAGCATATATTTAAGATAGGATTGACTAACATGTGTGTGTCAGTGTTTAATGAATTATTTTTGAGTAGTATTTACTTATGGGATACAGTATAAAAGATATTTTGATAGGTCAGCAGAATATGATTCTCATGTTGATCACTGCAAACATGAAATTTTCTATTATATAAGGATGTCTACTGTTCATTGGATCATAATAACTATTTGAAAATTTTGTATTGCTTCTTACTTCCTATATACTTTCTTTATTTCGTCTAGTGTCCGATTCTTTCTATGTTTGTGAGCCTAACTCGTTGTTTGAGTGATAAGACTGAGTATGAAGCAAGTTCTTCATTAATCGATCAGACCGATGAGTAACTGCATACATATATAGTCCCTTAGAAACTTAAGCCACATTTTTCAACCAATGGCGTGTGTCCGATTCGTTGGAAAATGACGTTAAATCTTGGCCAATTGCGTAAACCTATTGTTTAGCGAATACTCGATTGGCTCACTGAGTCAACTTTTAATATTCCAAATAACAACAGTCAAGAAATAGTGTATCGACTTCAGTTTAAAGGTTGAGTTTAACTTAGAAGAATAACTGTTGATTAAAAATCCTAATAACCTGAGAAGATATTATCGTATACCTTACCATAACATAGTGAAATTCGTTGGATCCAAAACATATAAACTTTTTATACTTTAAAATAAATACGCTATATAAATATGTTAGCCTTTAATAATCGGTTATAAAATATCAGCTTTTTTATAGATATGATTTGGATCTAAGAGTTTTCATCCTTAAGTTATGCGTCTCGGCAGAGTGTTTAATTACTATTTGTTAATTTTAGAACGGAACCTATCGTCCTCACGAATATAGTCCGTGGGGTTTTCTCGAACGCCTTAATGCTTATTTGACACGCCAAAATATCTGCGCCGCACCTTTTTACAAAAACTTGATCCAGTCTCCATTGCCGATAGCAAAAGCTGATGCGCCTCCTAAATTTAACTACCTAGATCTCCCTAGCACTACTGTTTCATGGCCTCCAGCATCAAGTTTAAAGATAGTTTTGGGATCTCGTGGTAAATCTTGTGCAGATGTGTGTATGAATCTGGGAACTTCAGAACATACTTTATTACTCCCTTCCGATATTTCTGCTTACTCTATTCGCAACAAAACACAACATCCCCAAATACAGAATGGCTACCTTTACTATCGTTCTATTTACACTACGCCTCCGCAAAACTTGTCTTATCTTTATACATTTCGCTGTTCTCCAGAACACTTTCCAGTGTTAATCATCGACTAAATCTTCAACATTTCGGTGTTTCTTGTCCTAATATTACTTACACAACTAGTCCAATGGCACCATATTGGGACGATGCAACAAGTTCATGTGTTTTTCAGGCTAGTCATGAATGGTTTGACTGTACTGCCTCAGGGACTCTTAATGGATCTGATGTATTTTCTCGTTTTTGTCCTTGTCGTGATGCTCTTCCTAACCAGATTTCTTTATGTTCAAACTGTTTGTGACAAAATATTCTATTGCTTAGTGATCACATGTATAGAAAAGTATAAAAGCTACATTTATACTTTCACCTTCCCGCCCGGTTGTATATGAATCGCATTATGTACTTTCTTTAACATTTTAAGTGTACGGTGAAGTACTGAATATTTAATTGTTGTTTTCTGCCGAAAAGCATTTTTCCTATTTCAGTCTACAAAATTAATTGATGTATTTACTAGTAACTGCATTCTAATTTGTATTTACTTCCTATAAATTCTAGTCTACGAAATTTTTCTGTTGTAAAGTTTTAATTCCTTAAGATTTTTTCATTTTAGAATCTAATTGTAGATTTCTTTTCATGCTTGTACAACGTATTTTTGAATTATATAAAATAATATTGTTGTGTGTTAGGAAACTAGGTTATTTTTTCATATGTGTTTGCAATATTAAGTTGATTTCACTGAAAACTGATTTGGTTGAGTTTTGTGAATGAAGAACTGCAGTTGTCTGTTTCGATATTCCGAAGGACAACAGATGTTTGATGAATTTTTAATAATCGTTTTGAAGTATTAAATAGTTTGCTAATTTATAATACATAAGTGCCATACATCTTTGCAAGAATTGTATCCATTTGACACTTTATCATGATAAATGAGCATTTGGTAATGTTTGTCCATCATAACAGGTTTTAAAGGATTGATAAACAGCGTTTGTATCTGGCGATCTCAAGATGGTACATGCCACTAAATCTAGAATTCATTTACACCTGAAATTCGATAGTTTATAATCTTGAAAGGTTGATCAATAGTCAGGCTGATTAGTAAAAAAACAAGAGTTTTGCGTTTGCCTTGTGAATAGTTTACATTAAACCATGTAGCGTTGTGAAGTGGTTTGGTATTGCCAAGCGAGTTGTTAAAAATTGGTGACCATCATCAAAATATGGACCACCGGATTCTGTGTGCTCGTAATAACCACAATTGTAGATTAATCGTAAGAATAAAGTTGCCATCTTAATCCTGTCGATAACTTCGTATGGCTAGTAAAGTCTCGCTCGTTCGATAGCCATAATTTTGCTGTAGTTTAATAAAACTCGAGTTGCAGTGGATTGAAATTATATGAATAAGGGTATTGTAAACGTTACTTACAAATCCATCATAGACTATAGTTTTCTACTACCTTTCGTAGGTATTTGGTTTTGCGATGTGATGATTGCTATTGCATCAAGTTGGACATTCTGTTTTAGCGAGTAACTGGTTTGTTATGGCTCCAGCTGCCATTCATTGGATAACCCCCGTCAAGAATACCTAGTATTTTGTGCTTTTACCAAACCTTCTATTAGCCCAATGATATGAAAGTGATATCCAGACTTTTGCTATTGACTAAATCCCTTTTTGGAGTTCACATTTTAAGTGTATCATACAGTTTGCGGGAATCAGCACTAAACAAAGTATGTATGACTTAACTGTTCAGTTTCAATGGTATTTCATACCATGCTCAAAAAAAACAACCTCACTACAATAAAACCCCACATTGATAACCAAATAAGGAAACAGCTATAAAATAGGAAGCCCATTGGGCTTAATTAGGAATCAATGTGTACAAACATTTATGGTAGAGTTTCGAAAACTTCAATATGCATAATGAGTCTTCATCAAATGAGGTTGTTGGAACATGTATTACAGTTATGTTAAATCCATACAACTGTATACTTATTTTGGAATACAAGTTCTGACCGTCAAATGTGTCAATTCGATTTTACTAGCTAACTTGTGCTCGGCTGTGTGACTAATTCTGACGCCTTATACATACATCGTAACAATATGTCTCTGTATTTGTGCCTGTCTATCTGTTCTTCTGTTAATCATTTTCTATTATTCTATTGATCCATAAATAATTAAAACTCGTTGACTGAATGATACTGCGGACTCATTTGAATACAACACATGTGGATGTGTTTAATCCAATCATAGATTTATTTTATAATAATCAAGTTCATGGATATCATATTTCTAGTGTTATTTCTATTCTGGTAAAAATGATGGTGATTCTAGAACCAGCATCATTATGAATACTATCTAATATAATTCTGGTGTTGTCTATTACAACTTTAGTCCAGTTGTGTCCATTCAATCAATTCATATTTCTTTTTTTTTACCGCTGTGCATATCAGTTGATTAATACCGCCTATAGCTCTTCTAGGAGAAAGGTTGAGCATGGGGTCAGCAACCCCATAACGTAGAAAACAACTGTGCTAAAAAGGTGCTATTCGGAATAAATTAAACCACTTAAACTCTCCCCTCTGAGTTGAAGGAAGAATTATGATACCTCATGATGAAAGCCGAGATTCTTCAAAAGTCACGTGGCCGGTGCCCCTTTTAACAAAGAAAGCAGCAATTTTTATAGGTAAATACAACGCTTGAATATTTGCTCAGGAAAGAACCTGACTATCCTGATGTGTGACCTAAACGCCAAAGTCGGGATGGACAACACCGGATATGAAGATATCATGGGATGATATGAACTGAGAGAGAGGAACGGAAACGGGGAGACTGTTATGGATGCAGAATAATGTGCCAATCATTATCATGTTAAGTCTAATGATGTCTTTGGACGTTAAATGGACATTTCCTATTGGCCATTATTTATTTCATTCGTTAAATATTGTACAAATGTTGTTTTCTATTTTTATGGTACGATGTGGTCTGTTTGGTTAGTATATAAATAGAGTATGTCTGAAATACAGTGATTCATAACTGAGAGGCTGTGACTTGTTCTGGACTCAACTGGCTGGGCTAGACAGCGAAGCAGGGCCAATCGTGACTCTAGGTCGTCCGTACATGTTTACGTGTCATTGAATCAATCGATAAGTACGCTGCTCGTCTAATCTGCAATACCAAGTCACATCAATTGGCACGGGGTAGAAATCGATCAAAGTTCAGTCATAACAATTGGCGACGGGGTAGAGAAAAATTTTGAACCCTCAACTTCAAGTCATAACAGAGACATTTGCGAACCTATGAGCATTCAACAAATTGGTTATAGACGGTACAATATTCCCACACAAATTACATGGGTCTCACTGGACCACACCATAGAGGACCAGATAGATCACACTTGCATCCGTGAAAAATCCAGGTCAATGGAAGATGTGAGAACTAGGGGAGATGACAGATTAAGATCACCACCTGGTTGTTGTCAAGATGGAACCGAAGCTAAAACAGCAATGAACAACTGGATAGACAGCAATTCATAGGTCCAAAACAGCCTTCTTTCGACATGTTGACAAACTCAGCACTCCGATTCAGGTGCAGATGAAGAGATTGGTAGAGCACTTTTAAGAAATCTTGAATAGACCGGATCCATTGGACGTCGAAGCAGCACATACAAACTTTTCTGTAGATGTCAATCAACCAACGATCGAAGAAATCAGGATGGTCATTAAACAAACCAACAGCGGGAAAGCAGCAACATTAGACAACATACCATCTGAAACACCGAAGTCAGGTATTAAAGTAACTGTAAACATGCCTCACCTTCTATTCAAGAAGATTTAGTAGGGGGAACAGATGCCACTGACAGATTGCAAAGAAGAACACCTCATCAAGATACCAAAAAGGGGACCTGAGCAAATATGGGAACTACAGAGGTTTAACACTACTGTCAGTGCCAGGAAAAGTATTCAACAGAGTTTTGATAGACCGAATGAAAGACTCAGTAGACGCCCAACATCGAGATAAACAGGTTGGATTCCGTAAGGATCGACCGTGCGCGGACCAAATCGCTATACTAGGGATCACCGTCGAATAATCAGTCAAGTGGAACTCGTCACTGTACATCATACTTCATTGACTATGAGAAGGTATTTGACAGTGTAGATATGAGAACATTATAGAAAGTCCTTCGACACTGGAATTTCTGAGAAGATTGTCAATATTATCTAGAATTCATATAACGGACTACAGTGCAGAGTCATGCATAGATGACAGATGCATTTCAAGTGATGGCCGGTATCAGACAAGTGTGATCAATCCTCCATTCCTCTTTCTTCTGATGGTTGATTGGATTATGAAGACCTCGATATCCGAGCGGAAGCATGGAATACACTGGACAGTTTGGATGCAACTAGAAGATTTGGACTTTGAAGATGACTTAGCTCTTTTATCCCATACACATGAACAAATGCAGATGACGACAGTTAGTATAGCACCAGCCTCTACATCAGTAGACCTCAACATACACAAGGGAAAAGTAAGATCCTCAAGTGCAATACGGAGAACACCAACCCAATCACACTTGATGGCGAAACTCTGGAAGATGTGGAATCCTACACCTAACTGGGAAGCACCATCGATGAACAAGGAGGTTCAGATACAGATGTAAAGGCGAGGACTGGCAACTAAAGGACAGCATTCTCACAGTTGAACAACGAATGGAACTCAAAAGAACTTCCAATCTATATCAAAGTCAGGATCTTCAACACAAATGTCAAGGTAGTTCTTTTATATGGGGCTGAGACTTGAAGAACTACTACAACCATCAAAAATGCACAAGTATTTATAAACGGTTGTCTATACAAGATACTCAATGTCCGTTGGCCGGATACAATCAGCAATAGCATATTGTGGAAAAGAACAAATCTACCCCCAGCCGAAGAGGAAATTAAGAAAAGACGCTGGAAGTGGACAGGACACCGATCGAATAAATCACTAAACTGCATCACGAGACAACCCGGATTTGGAATTTTGAAAGGAAATGGAGAAGAAGAAGGGAAAGAAACACACTACGCTGAGAATTGAAAGCAG